GCTGCTGTTTGACTTCTAAGAAACAGCCTTTTCTTGGAGAATGTTTAAAAAAAACAAAACCCGCATGCTTTTTATAACAATCTCTGAGAAACAAACCACCTACCATGCTTTGAAAGGGAACAGTTGCATTTGCTAGCTGCTGTTGTGGTCCCCATGCCATCTTCCAGCTACCTGCAGAATATTAACGCCTGCTCAGTTTCACTCGAATTGCAGTTTCCCTTCCTGTTTAAGACACCATGACATATGGTTCAAGCAGACCCAGGGTCTCGAAGACTCAGGTCAACAGTGGGCATTCCCAAATTTAGGGTGTTTGGCATACAGTCAGTACCTATTTGTCTCGCTGTCTGTCTAGGCCAGCCTCTCCCAGTATAATCAAATCTGTCTAACCAAGGCTGGCTCCCGTTCTTGGCTGTGCTGCAAACTTCCTGCCTGACCTTAGGCCAAGCACTGCTGCTCTCTGCCCTCCTACCTCACACAGTCTCGTGAGCATCCCCATTATTACGGTTTGCCAGGTGCGGTCATGAGCCCCATGGAAAATGCCTATGAATAATAGCTCCAAATTAAACACTGGGGAAGTTCAGGTTAGAGCCTTGTGACTCTCTCTGGCCCTCGCAAGCACTGGAAACTGGGCTTAGCTGAATGTGAGCCCTCACTCACTTCAAATTATAGCTCTAGGAAGAGACAGAGAAAGCTGCCAACTAGGTCAGAGCATGGTTTGGGGAGCCAGCTCTCCTTGGGCTTTGAAACCAGGCTCGCACAAGTTTATGTACTGGGAGGACTCGCATTATGCCTGTGAACATATAAAAAATGTATTGTTTGTATTTCTCTGCATCCTAAGCTAACGTCCATGTGACAACCTTGAAGCATATTACAGTGGAGAAGAAATCAGCATCTCTTACGACCTGGGGCTGAGGGGCAATAGGTTTGTTGATTACGTCTGGAGCAGTATGAGTCCCCAAACGGCTTTGTGCTGATCTGTGTGCCTCAGAAGAGGAGCTGTAGGCTTTCTGATGCTGCTCCTCAGGTGGGTCATAGCATTCCTGGAACTCACCAGTGCCTGAGTGGGTAGCTGGGAGGTCTGTGCTGGTGGAGCACAGCTCAATGGCCAGGGAGTAGGTTAAGCTATTTTACAACAGAAAAGGACTGAAAAGGTGGAGGTCTTCTCACAATTACTGCAGCTGGGTCTTGTTTGCCTTTGTTGTGCCTTGCAGACTTGTTTGGAGAGCCAGCAGCAAACTGACTTAGGGAAAATAGAGAAAAAGAAAAGACTAGGAAGCAGTGAGGGTTGAGTGAAGGAAAAAGCAAGCAAGCAAGCATGAGTAATACAGGCATTAGAAGTGCTTTATAATTAGTTTATGAAAGCTCTCTTAGCATCAGTAAAGCACTTTCTACTAAAAATCCTTAATAAAAATGCAGCAATGTTTGTAAGCATTGTATGTTTTCTGTTTAATTCTGTTAAACAGCTCCAAGAAGAGTGTCTGAGCAATGCACTTCCCTCCTTTCTCAACCTCCCCCCGGCCCCGCCACGCACACACATTGTCTGGGCAGTTAAAAGCACTTCAGCTTTGCCTCCTTGCCTTAAAACTCCCTGGTGGAAACCTCTATTTGAGGTGGTTTCAAACCAGCTGGCTGGCTTTCCCACTCAAGCAGCAGCTGAAAATATCTTGCTGCTGGGGGAGCAGCCAACTGCGGTCACCTTCCCTGCAAGAGTTGGTTAATCCATTGACTATCCTTGTGGGCTATGGATGCTGCACCCTGCCCTCACGTATTTATGGTTGGCTTATTGGAGCAATGCCTAGATGGGGAGAAGTGGCTATGAGATGTGCTTGGAGATGGCGGCTTGCCCAGTTGAGGTAACACCAGAGAGGTCAGCTTACAAGGATGTTGGTGCTCCTTGACTGAAACAATGGATTTGGTTATATGAGTGAAATGCAAATTGCTGGGCACTGGTCAAGACGGTTTGGATGCCATCGCTGCATAAACGTCTCCCACCCAGCTGTGCCCTAGTCTGTAATTATCTGGAAATGAAATACTAGTCGAAAACATCCCCAGGGTTGGGTTTTCTTCCTTCCAATTTTTCTTCTTGTTTTTCACACGGGAAGAAAAAAAGTCTGGAAACCATGCTTAAGGTTAGGTCTGGAAGCAAAGAAGCAAAGGTCTGGCCAGACTAGATTTTAACATGGCTGGTGACCCAGTGTGAGGAGAATGGAGCTTATCAGCTTGTTTGATTGCGGGCCAAAGCACGGACGTGACCAAAGCACATGATGCCAAAAGAGTCTGTGGTGAGGATTAGCCAGTGTTCTTGCTGAAGTTTGAAAGTTTCATGGTCTGGACCGGACGTCTTTGGTGTTTCATTCTGAAAGCCTAAAGCTTAATTGCTTTGTTGGAGAGGAAGTAGGTGCTCCTGCTTGTATCTCCTGAGTGTAATGCTCTCCCAATTCATGCTGTTTATATGATCTGAAGAAAGGGAGTTTTGCCTCATGAGGAGCAGGGGGCTTGGGCCAAGGTTTTTTAACTAGGGAAGAAAACCCTTATGCATTTTTATTCATTCTACATTTGCCAAGAAAGATTCCCTGAACTTCTCCTAAGGGCTTTTTTTTAGTTGTTTGTAACGTTTGATTTATTAAGGATTAGCTTCAGTAGGAGAAAGCTCAGTTAGATGCTTGGATGAAGCCAAACAGGGTTTAATTCAGAGGCAAATATTTCCTGATGATTTACTTACTAGATTCATTCTTTTAATTTTCCATTTGCAGATTGCCCATGAGCAGATTGTAATATTCCCAAATTGTATGTATTATTGGAAGTTATTCACCCATTCAATAAGCAAATATTTCTTGGTCCAGAATTTGCTTCTGAAATTGCCAGGTCTCCTACAGCACTGGGTGGTTTGAGGAGCCATGTGGACAGCACTAGGATGTTTGGTGTGTTGGCTACCATGGAAGCTGTGATCATTACAGTCAGGTAGTTGAAATCATGTACTGTGTTGGCGAGTTATAACCCCATGAGGACACAAACAGATGTGATTCTCTGGGATGCAGCTAAACTCTCCCCGTGCCATGCAAATAGCAGCTTTTACAGTCTACTCCATTAACTGTGTTTTGCCAACATTCATGTTTCACCAAATTAATTTTTTGCCATATATTCCCAATCTCATTAGTAGCCAGTAGTCCTGCAGCACAGATGTGTACTTTGGATGTGGAAGGGCTGCAAGCAAGCTGAGAGCAGCTAGTTATTTGAAGAACAAAATGTCCCTGCTGTTTGCTCAGCACTACTTTAAACAGATAGAAAAACAGGGAGGAAAAAGTTCTACTCGTAAGAAGCACTAACACTGCTTTCTATGTTCCTTTTCCCTGGGGAAATGGTGGGATCAAGCCACACATGATGGACATTAGTGAGGTCACGCAGGGTGCTGCTGGATGGTGTCAGGGTAATAAGGGGTCACAAGGTGAGGAGAGAGCATAGAGAGCAGATCTTCATTTACATCACTGTGTGTCCACCCTTCAATTAAGCAAGTGCTCTTCCTGTGTGAGTGCCTCTTCTTAAGACCGTTCGGATTTCACCTTGGCCAAGCCAATTGCGTGTAATGAAGTTAAAGGCTGGGTGATTGGAGCTATCTGAGTGCTTGGTCTGGCATAGACAGGATTTTATCTGCAGGCATTTTTCTGCTGGCTCTCAGCCTGATTTAGTCCCAGAAAGGAGTGAAACGAAAGCTGTCCAGGCCATCTTCCTTTGTGGAGGAGCACACTGAGTCCCTCTAAGTTTGTTTTGAGGCGGTTGCCTGCCCATGCGTGCTTCGCAGAACAGGAATGAGTCACATGAGGATTATTCTGTATCCAGCGAGCTACTTCTTCTTTCAGCCCTCCATTCCCAAACAGGAGGTCTTGTGACAAAGAAGAAAGGCAGATTCCTGGCAGCCTGGAAATGCTTTTTCCTTCCCTGGCCCCGTGAGAGGGGCTGTAGCATGTTGTTCAAACAGGTTGATACAAAGCAAATAAACAGTTGAAGAGAGATGGGCAGTTTCTGTAAATAGCAATGTGCTGGCCAGAGAGAGGAGAAGAGGGGTGGGAGAGTGGGGGTGTTAGAAAGCCGCAGAAGAACAAGATGTTCACGTAAAATCTGTTCGTTCGCAGCACACAGAGCCTGGTGCACCTTGCCATCAGTCATGGCCTAGAAAATATGAAGGAATCTGTGGGAGTTTCACCTTAAAGCCAGACTTTGCAACAAGCTTTTATCTCTGCACCAGAAGGCAATGCATTCCTCCCCCAGACCGTTCAGATGCTTAGGAGCCATGCCAGTGGGCAAGTGGGACATTTCCAGGTAGGGTTTAGTGAAGGCAGGTTGCGGTTACAGAATGCACAAGGATAGTGAATGTGGTTACCCAGCTCTTACACTTCTCATCCACAGAGAACCTTTATTAGCACTTAACAGAAGAGCTTCAGTATTACTGTGCAAGTGCTAAGTAAAGGCACTTGCCGTGCTTGTTAAAGGACCAGTGTGGTGTCAGACAGTGCACAAAATAGCTACCCGCTGACATGGATTGAACATTGACTATTTGTTTAATGCTTGGTGTGTGCTTGGCCAAATCCTGCCTGGGTAGTGGAATAAACTGAGCTGTACTAAGTAGCACAATGACACTTACGGAGAGAGGTAAGGGAAGGAGAGCAGCCAAAGGAGAGCTGTATCTGTGCTTCTCCCATGCTGAGGGAGTCTTGTGGAAATGGAGGTAAATTGTGTCCTAAATTTTGCATGTTGGCTCTAACATTAAAGTGGATGTGGGTGCTATAAATTCATGATGTGAGGACTTAACTGTAGCCAGACAGACAAAAGAGGGGAAAACATCAGCAGAGAGAGGTATAGTGTGAATGACAGAGTCCCAGGTAGCTGTCTGGAAGATGGTCTGTGACATATACAGACACAAAGAAGTGGGTTTTGTTTGTTCCTGGCATCCCAAAGGGCCTCCCTCACAGATGGTTTCACAGCCATTTCACCTGCCTCCACAGGTACGACTACATCGAGATCCGAGACGGGGACAGTGAAGCAGCAGACCTGCTGGGCAAGCACTGTGGGAACATAGCACCTCCTACTATTATCTCTTCTGGTCCTTCTCTCTATATCAAGTTCACCTCTGACTACGCACGGCAAGGTGCCGGCTTCTCCCTGCGCTACGAGATCTACAAGACAGGTGAGTGTCTGAGTCAGCACCTGCCTCTCAGGCACCGTTTGCCACGATGATCTTCACAAGGAGATGTCTTTGGCTATCTTTTCAGTATGATTTTTAGCATATTCTCCAGAGATAAAGGGCTATTTTTGTTTGTTTGTTTGTTAGACAAGTCTATTGCATCGCATTTCTAAGAAGGTGAAGATGTTAGTGGCGCATGATAGTGCATTTTGGATCACAGTGTGGCATCAAAAGCAGGGTTCCTCCTTAAATGATTTCTTGTATTCAAGGACTTGAAACATAAATCTTTTCTCCCTGGCATGTGTGGAGCTTGTTAGGGCTAAGAGGGGATTGTCCCTCTATTAGGAGTGCATGGAGCTCCCCCTCCTGTGGAGCTGCGATTCAGGGCTTATCAATGACGCTGTGTTTTCTCTTCCTGGAAGTGAGGTTTGTGACTGGGGAGCTCTGGTTTTCAAGGGACTGCTGTCAGCAGTGCTGTCACGGGCAGAGGCAATGCCTTTCCAGGCAGATATAAGAGGAACTATTCATAATACTGTTTAATACTGAACTATTCTTGAGAAAAGGAAAAGCTGCTCAAAGGCCTTTTAATAGTGTTTCTGTCTAAATATTTGCCAGAATTGTGTGTCTGTGAAGAAGGCGGCTTGAGAAAATAAAACCCACTCTGTGTGAGCGGGTGAGAGAGGTGTGCCTGCATGCCGAGGCAACAAGAGTGTGTTTTGCATGAGGATGTGGGTGCCTGCCCTGTGCCTACATCCGTTTGGTGGTACGTTGGAAGCAAACACACACAGCTTTCACTGCATTGCATCCAGCACAAAAAAACACCGTGCCTGGTGAAGAACCAGGAAGGAGCACAACAGGGCTGCTTCCCCAGCCTCTCCAAAGGGAAGGCAGGGAGCATGGGCACCAGTGCCTTGTGGGCAGAGGGATGCAGACAGCTCACAACCCAGTCACAGGTAGATGGGAATGTGGAGACAGCTGCAAGAGGGTGGGGATGGACTCCTCAAGTTCGTTGTGAAATGGTGAGGTGTCTGGAGGTTCAGGTGGATGAGGAAAGTGGTTGCCTGGGCTGTACAATTGGCCATTGAGCTGTTGTGGTGCTGCCATCTCACCACGGCTGTTTGTGAATGGTTAGGATGCAGATTAGTCCTGAAAGAGTTTAGTGGCTCATCTGGATATTGGGGTTTGCTGAGGCCAGTTGCCAAAATGGAGGATGGCAAAGAATGTCTGTGTTTAGGTGGGAAGACTGCTGACCCACCTCCCTTGACTCTCACTGCCTGCACACACAACCCTCTGAGCCCAGCAGACTGCACATCAGGTCCATGCTCTGAATCAGGACACAGGGCAATGTGGAATGGTCCAGCTGGCTGAGGTGGCCAGGCCTGGCTGAGTGCGGCTGTGGGAAGGGATGGCAGGCAGAAACCCTGTCTGCCCAAGTGGGAGCCAGCAAGGAGCCAAATTCATAGGAAAAAGGAGATTTTATTGCTGCTGTTAGAGATGGAAAGGAAGAAAGGGCTGATCTGGGGGAAAGCAGATGTTGAATGGCATCCAGAGCTGAGTTCGTGCCCTTCAGCATAGGTCCCTGCAGAGCTGCCCTCAGGTCTGAAGTGGTTTTGGGACGCCATTTGCCCCCATCACCCCCCACCCCCCAGGCATACACCCTCTCTAGAAATAGCCACACTTTCTTCCAGCCACACCCCCCACAGTCCAGCCTGGCAAGGCAGGTTTTGGCACAGAGATGGGGATGATCCTGGAGCACCCCAGCATACCTCATCTGCCCGACCCCTGCCCCTCCTGGGGTGCCCAGGGAGGACAGTGGGCCAATGCAGTACAAGCAAACCCTGCCCTTGTCTGTAGGCAGGCAGGCAGGCAGGCGCGGGCAAAGTTTCTGTTTGAACTGTCAGGGAAGCCAGCAAAAACATCACCACCTTTAAAGGTCATTGGGTTGCCATTGTCCCCATGGCTAAAGGCATCGTGGCTGCAGCTTCTTCCTTTCTTAAAGATGACCTAAAAACCACAATTCAAGTAAGCGTTTGTTTCCACACCCTGTGCTACGTTTCCCTTATCATGGTGTGAGAGAGGAGCAATCTGCATACAAGCGACTGCATACCAGTGTCTGAATCCCCCGATGGGTATCAGTCAGTGGTCTGTGGGCTGAGACAAGAGCCGCCTGCCCTGGCCGGTCCAGCCTCCCCGCTGCTCGCTTTGTGACTCAGTTTGGCAGGGCTGGTCTGAGACCTCCATCCCTGGCCATCAAAGTCTCCTCTCAGGCTGGTCCATGCTGCTGAAGCCAGCATGACTCCTGTTGATTATCTGCAGCTTCTGCATAAAAAGCTGATCATTGTGTTTGCTGCTATCAGCCAAACTGTAGACAAAGATGCCAAATGTGGAAGAGCCCCACATGAGGAAACTGTCACTGTCTAATGCAGTGACATAGTTACGTCTCTCTCAGCTCTCTAGAGGACAGTTCCTGACTCTAGACAGGAGAGAGGCTGACTCTGCATTTAGTCTTTGTGTTTTTTTCCCCCTAGCTTGGAGCTGGTGTTATTTTCCCTGTTTATCTATCTGCCTTTCAAGCTGTTTGGAACGAAGTACACCCTTATCCCTGTTCACAGGGATGTGATTTGTGTTTGGCCTTATTTTTTGCCTCTGCGTTTTACCCCGCAGGTTCACACCAGAAAAGCTGGCTGCTTCATTAGGTAGTCAATTAAGAGCCTCTCCTGAGTAGCAATCCAGCTAGGCACTGCATAATGCAGCGTTGGGATCCTGCTATTACTGTGGGCTGCTGGCCTGACTCCTGTAGGTTAATGCTGAATTGAATAACAAGTCTCCCATTAGTCCCAGGAAGGTTCGTGCTGCCTGGAAGAGCTGGAGTAGAAGGGTTTGTAGAGGAGAAGGAGGGTGTCTTAGTAAAACTGAAGCAGCAACCTTTGCCAATGATAACGCCGGGTTGCCACAGTGGCCAGCAGCCTCTCTTAACATCCCCTATGCCTCTGATAGCTCCAGGCTGCAGATTTCTGTTGCCTATTGTCCTGTTTCCACAGTGAAGGGTTTCAAAGTCACCGTGGTATGACTATGACACAAATTCCCCTTTCCCCAGCCACCCTGAGGCACCTTGGCTGTGTGAGAGGGGGCACTGAGCTGGCCCTGCCGCAGCCGAGGCCAGTGCTGAGGTCAGCAATAAATAAGAGGCAACATTGTCTGCCCTCCTCGCCGTGCAGAGGTCTTCCTTAAGGATAGAAATAACTCGCATTTCTGGTGCAGGCAGCTCAGCCTGTGAGAAAGAGGGCTCTGTTCCTCCTCTTGGCAGAGACCCCCCGCCATGGCCCCTACTCTTGCCATGGCCACGTTGTGGGGACGTAAGCTGGAGCTGGCCATTGTTTGTTGCGTGGGTCTCAGGGGGCTGCAGGCTAACTGTGTGCTTCCCGGGGGGTTCCAGCTAACAGTGGAGACATTGGCACCCTCCCCTGGGCCCCTTCATTGCGTAAATATTTGTGTTCCTGCTATTCCTGAGAGGAAACTGAGGCACAGATATCAGTGCCAGAGGGACGGAGGTTGCAGGAGACCAGCCCCTGGGGACAGCTTTTCCCAAAAGGTGACATCCTCATTACTCCTCACTGCCCCTTCCCAGACAGCATCCTCCCCAAACAGGAGCTCCTCCATCTGACCTGGAGCTGATGCTAGCGTGGCCAGGGGGTGGCAGCCACAGCAGTGAGGACCACGTAGCAGCCCCCTGCATGCTCTCTGGCCCCTCCATGAGTTCTGGGGGCAGTGGACACAGGTTTCCTGCAAGGTCCATGTTTAGGGGATAGGACCAGTCCCATGACAGCCATCATCACCAGTGTGGAGGACACGGCAGGCTGCTGGCCTGCCAAATCACTGCTGTGGCTTTGGGTGGGATCACTCTCCTAGTCCTGTTTTTGGAGTAACTGACAGTATCAGCAGTAATGTACAGGTTACACTTGCAGAGCTGTCTTAGGGGTTTAGAACCATGCAGTCCACTCCAGTAAACACATGGACCTTTTCTCTTCACCTGTGGAAAGATTTGAAAATCACCTTCTTGGTCCTTGCAGGAATTCACGGAGCTCTTGGGTTACAGAACATTTCCAGAAGTGAATACATAACCTCTGTGAGCTCAAAATGGGGTTTCCACAGTGTCAGGCTGTTGGCATTAAGCTGTGGGCTTTTTCCTGCCACTTACAGGCTCTGAGGACTGCTCCAGAAACTTCACCTCCTCCAACGGCACAATTGAGTCTCCAGGTTTCCCTGACAAGTATCCACACAACCTTGACTGCGTCTTCACCATCATAGCCAAGCCAAAGACAGAAATCCTCCTCCACTTTCTGCTCTTTGACCTTGAGCATGACCCACTGCAGGCAGGGGAAGGAGACTGCAAGTATGACTGGCTGGACATCTGGGATGGCATCCCTCAGGGTAAGCCCTGGGGTACTGTGTTGCTGTTCTCTATCTCTCTTGGTGTTTCACAAAGTTCCAAAGCTGTGCAGTCTGTGTCTGCACACTAAAGGTACCTAACCTCAGTTAGAGCTGCAGCATGCAGCCTGCTGTCAGGGTGCTCCATGGCCAGCTGTGGAGATGGTGTGCTTGCAGAAGGCTGCATACATTAAACCCCAGACTGCTGCTCTGTTGTAACCACTGACCTGAAAAGCCTCATGGGCCCTCCAAGATACAACTGGCCATCCCTTGGGAAAGGGTTCATGCAGTGCTGGGAGGACCTCCCTCCCCTGCTCCAACACTGAGAAGCAGAGCAGTTTGGAGCATTTCCCAGCAATTGCAGAGCAACGCCTGCTGCAGTGGATATTTCTGCACAACGTACTGCAGGGCACCAGGCCAGCGGATGTAAAAAATAGCCCAACCCCAAAGCCTTTCTTTTATCCCGCCAGTCCTGCTGAGGCATCCCTGCTGAGTGATGCCAATCTGCCTGTGACCCAGCAGGCCGGTGGAAAACCTTTGCTGCTCTTCCTTTTGCAGTTGGCCCCTTGATAGGCAGGTACTGCGGCACTAAGATGCCATCAGACATCCGCTCCACCACCGGCGTCCTCTCCCTCACCTTCCATACGGATCTGGCAGTGGCTAAGGATGGTTTCTCTGCTCAGTACTACTTGATCCAGCAGGAAGTCCCAGAAAGTAAGTTGGAATTGTGTGCATATGCCTTAGCGAGTCATGTCACCTGTTTTTCTTTCTTTCTTTCTTTCAAGTCTTTCTCTCATTTGGCACAGGCAGGAGTGTGTCAAGGGACTGGTTCCCCCCAGCAATGCAGACAGCAGTTACACTAAGTGTGTTCTCTGTTTCTCGTGGAAGTGAGATTTCAGTAAGAATCACACTTTCTGACCTTTCTTTGACTTTTTGCTTTCTGAGGAAGTCTTCTCAATACCTTTTGGGATAGAATCCTTCATGTCTGTGCTCATCCCAAAGGATTTAGGGGACAACTTCAGCCCAGTGGGTGCAGCAGATTCATTAAAGCATGGGGGAAAATACTCTCTCCTGCTCTCTGGTTTTCCAAAATTTCATAGCCCCAAACTACAAATTTGAATTTCTTGACTGTCTAATTAAAAAATGCCTAAAGCTCTAAGAATTTCAACCCAAAATTTGTTTTAGATCCTTTATTTAGGGAGATAAATTGATGTGGTGCTAGCAAGTAAGTTGTGTGTTTTGAGAATGAAGAGCATTTTAATTCTTTGTGATAAAGCTTGAAGGCAAGGGAAGATGCGGTTTGTTTTCCCATGATAATTTTACATCAGAGCTACAGTTCTCGACCTCTGTTCACAGTGAACCTGTGATAAACAGAAGCCTTCAGGACACCCCTCAGTCCCAGAGAAAGAGAGGGAGTCCCTGACCTGACACTGAAAGCCCAATGATGGACAGCAGGGTAGAGCAGGGGTTGTGCAGTGCTAGGGCAGCTGGGTTACATGCTCTTGCTCTGTGATTGAGTTAGGGGTGTTCTGCTGAGGCTGTGAATGTTACAGACAAGCATGAGCTCTTCACTATTACCTATCTTCATGCTCAGTTAATCTGTTCTTTAGCCCTCTATTTTGTTCTTCAAAATGTTTGGGAAATAAACTGTTAATGACACACAAAGCTTGAGAAATCAAGCACAAGAGCTGTAAAAGGGCTAGGCCTGTTTTGATTTATGCTGATGTAAATTGAAACTTTAATTGAGATCTTAACATGGCCCATCATTTCCACCAGGGTTTGACTTGGCCCCATTGAAAACACAAGCAGTTTGGTAAAGCCCCATTGATTTACAGCAGTGGTTCCTATCAGCGTTTTCTTTGCTATTGATTTTACAGGAACAGTTGTCATAAAATATGAGATATGCAATAAGATTGAACTAATTGTGACTTCTAAAGCCTTAGAAGTGAGGAAACCAAAATCAAAACTTATCGGGGTCTTTCACATCCTTGGTTGGTTAATTCCTATGGGTCTGATACCACATATAGTGCATGCACATAAACACACACACAGACACATCCACACTCACACACATGCAAAACCTTTAGACCTGCCCATTCCAGGCCAGCAGCACAGCAGTAAACATCCTCTTGCTGCGTCTGCCCATACTCCTCTTGGCAGTGCTTTAGATTTCACCTCCAGCCTTCAAGAAGATGGGGAACTTTGTGGCAAGGGGACTTGGGACATCTTGGTGGAGATGAAGGGAATGAAAGGAGAGGATTGTGTCGAAACTGTGCAAAGGTGAAGGAGATAGAGAAGGGGAGAAAGATCTGGACTGTATTAGTTTTCAAAGAGCCATGCGAACATAAAGCTGCCCCATCTTTTACTTTTCAGTGCCATCTGTGAGCACACAACCTCCAGGATGGTGCAGATCTATTGATCTTCCCAGGCAGGCAGCTTTGTTCAGGGTTAGCTGGGGAGGATACTTCAGGACTGCCTACCACTTGGGAGTGAAGTACTGGGACTGTAAGCTGATCTGTGTGTCCGTCTGTGTCCACTCTAGACTTCCAGTGCAACATGCCACTGGGGATGGAGTCTGGCAGGATCTCCAACATGCAGATCAGTGCCTCCTCCACCTACTCAGATGGGCGATGGACCCCTCAACAGAGCCGGCTTAACAGTGATGACAATGGCTGGACCCCTAATGTAGACAGCAACAAAGAGTACCTCCAGGTATGCACACGTTCCAGCTCCCTAGTCTCTTCCCCCACCAAATGGAGTGTCACGCTGTTAAACTGACCCTTGACCATAGGGCATGTTGAATATTTTATTGCCTGTGTGGCTCACGGGGAGCAAGCAGCAGGGGAGCTGCAGTGCCTCTGTGAAATGTGACAGGCTGGCTCTTCCATTAGCCTGCCTGCACAAGGGCTGACTTGACCTGTTGTCCCTCTCCCTCTTTCCTGCCCAAAACCTTGATGGACTTTCCAGCATACTGACAGAGACTGAGGGTCCTCTGCCACTTACAAGGGCCACTGACTCCGCCACTGGCCTGAGGACCAAAGTGTCCAGGCGGCACGTGGGAAAACAACTGGAGTAGTATTTATCTTATCAGTGATGCAGGAAGCATGAGCGGCCTAAAGTCATGTGAGGCTGATAGAGCAAAGGCTTTCCCTGGGAGCTGGTTAGGGCCACAGTCTGTCCACACAGGGCTTCTGGCTGTGTCACATTGCCATGAGACCCTGCTTGCTAAAGGGCACTGGGAACGAGAAGTGGTGAATCTCATTGCCTGTAGCAGACATCTCATGCCTCATTCATGGCAGTGCTACCGAGCCAGCTCTGCTGACCCTTCTCAGCTTGTAAAAAACCCCCATCAAAACCAAAACCAAAGCAACAACAAAAAAATCAAGGGAAGACCAAGAACTGCAGCACTTGCTAATTGGACATCATGATTTTATTTTACATGGAAAACGTCGGCCTCTGTTCTGCTTTAATGGACATGAGCTTCTGTGCAGATCCTGTTGCTTGGTCTGTGGCAGGAAGAAGGCTTTGTGATGGTCCTGTGTGGACAGACATCAAGATGCTTTATCACTCTTGTCCCACGGTCCTATTTGCAAGCATCCTGCTGAAGTCAGCCTGGGGGTTTGTGCCCATTGAAATGTGTGCCCGCAGACAGCGAGGCAGACTGAATTCAAGCCTTTTTCAGGGATGGAGGGAGGAACTAATTCTGGTGGTCGCCACTCTCTCTTGTCCTTTTAACCCTGGACAGGTGGACCTCCACTTCCTGACTGTGCTCACAGCCATTGCCACACAGGGTGCCATCTCTAGAGAAACCCAGAATGGTTATTATGTCCGTACCTACAAGCTGGAGGTCAGCACCAATGGCGAGGACTGGATGATGTACCGACATGGGAAAAACCACAAGGTAAATGCCTTCTTGTCTCTTTTACATGCGCCTTGGTGAGTCTTGCAGCTGACTGGAGGGAAGAGGAGAGAGATTTTCCAGGCCCAGAGGGTTTAATCTGTGAGGGACCTTTTTTCTGATGAGTGCTAAAAGACTGATGATGCCCTGATCAGAAATAGTCCTTTCTTCTCTGCACAGCAATGAGGAAACACTATTCCTTGGAAAACCTGGCTGCTGTTGCATCTTTCGTGGTGGTGAGAGTATGTTCTTTGACTGCAAATGAAGGAGAAAATGCTTTCACAGCCTGTGTTTTGCCATACAAGATTCATTGAGCTTTTATGGCTGTAGCCCCGTCTGCATGCTGGGTTAACAATCACAAAACCACATGAAACTGTAGTTCAGGAGTTATTGGGGCCTGGAAATGAAAGGGCACAAATCCTACAAGGCGATCACACCATCCCAGACAACAAAATGAACAATAAATAATGAGGAGCAATTCAGGCTGCCAGAGCTGTGGGATCTGCACTAGCAGGCATGATCAGCAAGAGTGCATTGAGCCCTGGGAGCTGCTGCATGCTCTCACTGTGTTTCTGGGAGGCACACATTGATGGGAGCAATGGGGAGGGAGGATAAATATGGGTGTTTAGATGTTCCAAGCCTTGCAGGTGCTGCTGTGTGGCCAGGCAAGGCAAACTTGAAGTGGTCTGCATGGGAGCTTTGGTATATGGGGAATGGGGTTAAAGCAAGCCACAGTGCCAGGCTGGTCCTGCTCTGTCACTTGCCCTGGTCATGTGGTTGTCTGCTGGTTAAGGGCACCTTGGGAAAGCCCTTCCCTGTGTACCCGCACTGCTGCCGCAGCTCAGGTCCTCCCCATTGATGCACTACAATCTGCCTGTGTGAGCTCAGTGGCACAGTGGCTCAGTCCCACACACGTCCCCCCACACGCACGTCCCAGCAATTTCTGATAGCTCAGCACTTTGGTTAAATTAGCTGTTCCCTCCGTTTGCTGGCACAGGCACTGCTGGCATGAAATGCAGTAGCCTTCCTTGTCCAGGATTCATCCAGACATTTCCTTCCCTTCCGGGCTGATTTCCTCTTCCCCTCAAGTGTGTCTCACGGTTCAAATTCACTCTGTTTCCCAGAACAAGTCCTCTGTGCACAGAGGCCCCAAGCAGGGTCTCATACCTCCAACATTTGGAGCATCTGAGCTCCTTGCGTGCCAGTGAGGTGGTGTTAGTCCTATTTTAGAGGTAGGGAAAGAGAGGCACAGGGCAGTCTAGCATCTCATAGGAGAGTCGGCAGTGGGGCTTGCTCAAACCTCAGGCAGGCTGGCTTCAGTGCTGCAGCTCATGGCAGAGCTCACATATAACCTAACAGGGTGGCTGTGCACCGATGGGGAGGCTCTGTGCTACTCCAGGACCCACTGGCCACAGCAGACCCTTCATGACATCACTCCAGCAAGAGCCTAAACCCAGCTGATACCAACCCAAAACAGTCACTTAGCCGTGTTAATTGCCTCCCTTTCAGGATTTGTGCTATCAGCTTTGTTCTGCTCTGTTTTCTCTCTTCATAAAAAGGAGGAAGAATCAAATCTCTCATTTTTTACTCCTTTATTCCAGTCTCACTTTTTTTCCCATGGTCTGGCCTTAATTTAGCAGACACTTCCCAAGCCTGGAGGATAAGTAATTGCTTTTTGGTGGCTCGCCTACCCCTTGCATCCGGGTGACTGCTTTCCCTCCCCTCTGAACGACTGGCCACCAGCCCACTGAGTGGGGCCAGGACAAAGCCCCTTGCTCACAGGCCTGGTGCCAGGGGGCTCTGGCCCCACATTCCCCACTCAAGTTAATCCCTGCCATTCCTGCATTAGGAAAGCTCCCAGATGTCTGTAGTCAAGGTGCAGATTCCTCCCTGCGTCAGTGAGGCACTCCGCACGGTTCAGGCTGCAACGGTGGAGTGAACCATGCCAAATAGATTTGTCAAGTCTGCCGCAGCTTGATTTGGTGCCATGAGGAATAGGGAGGGAGGGAAGGGGGTGGACAGACAGGGACTCTCTATTCCTCTATATACGTGCAGATATAGATGTGTGTATATATATATACACACATACATATATATACACACACATGCATATATATATATATGCACATGCACACATAGGCATATGGGGTGTATCAAACACTGCTCTGAATTTCTGCTAGCTGTGTAGGCCAAAAGCAAAGCTCTGCCATGTTATAGGTAGGTCAGCTAACATTTGCATCTTCATCAGGGAACTAAAGAAAGAGAAAATCAGTGAGTGCAGGAGTGGTGGGGAGGGGATGATACTCTGCAGAGGGTTGGGAGCTCTGACTTCCTCTTTTTCACCCCCTTGCTTCCCCTCCCTCCAGTGTTTCTGAGGAGAGCGGAGCCAAGCTTTTTCCCTGTGGAACGTGATGGCTCACCTTTGAGGCCCCAGCTGCTGGCATTCACAGCATGGGAAGCTTGAAAGGCAGGATGAAGCAGAGGAAAAGAAGATTCATACATGCTTGCAACAGGCAGGGCTGGCTGGGCTGTTATCATGCCAAGCGCTACTGCATTTCTGGGGTGGGTGGCAGTGGGAAGGCAGGAGCCCCACACTCACACCTTCCCCTTCCTGAACCATCCCTCACGGGCTTTCCTACTGCCTGGCAGCCCACTCCCCACAAAGGCCAGCCCAGCACACCCTGGACATCCCCCTGTTGAGGGGGTGATGCTCTGTCCTTGCCTGGAGCATGGGACCAGGAGGAGAGGCTAACTCAGTGACCTGGCCAGAGGTGCAGAGCTGTCTGCCTATGTGTCCCTGAGCAAGGAGATGGGGAGGAGAGCAGCCACCACTTATTGCCCCATACTCGTCCCTTACTACCCAATAGCACATCCTTATGGGACAGGGCCAAACAACTCCTGCCCCAGAAAGGCTAGTCTGGCTCTTGCCCTTCCTGCTGCATCCCCCACTGCCATCCGGGATTGATGGCCCCAGAGGTTATCTTCTGGATGCAGACACTGGTGTGTGTGTGCCGAGATCTTATCTAGTGATTTGCAAATGTCTTTAAAAAGCAACCACTCATTCCTGAACCCAAGGAAGGAAAAGAGCACCTGGCAGGATCTGACCTTTCAGTTTTGGCCATTTTCTTCACCTGACAGGATCTGGCCTTTTGTTTTTGGCTGTTTTCTTCAGACAGATTCAACTATGAGGATTTTATTGGAAAACAAAGTGCTCATCCATTCTGATCCACTTCCTTCTCTGTAGGGTCTTGAGTTCCAGCTCCTTTGTTATTTGAGCCACTCCATCTTAGTAACTGTGGAGATCATCTCCTGGGATCATCTAGTGTGGTGAGGGACTGGATGGGTTTCAGGATTCGTGTTGGGTCAGCACTGTGATGGGTGCTCTCGCTGCTTCCATTGCCCTGTGTGCAAAATGGGAGGATGCAACTGAAACATTTGCTTTGAGAGCCTGTAGAAGTCACTTGGTGACAAATGGCAGCAATATCCAGCTGGTGCATGTTTTCCATTTCCTACTTATTTTCATGGCTTTGTGCTTGCTATCAGCTAACCTTCTTGAGTGATATTCCAGGTGGATGAAAGAAGGCAAGTTGAATTGCAGCAAACAACTGAATATCTCGGCACTCCATGGAGTTGGAGATGTCAGAGGTGTTTGGTGCTGGCAGTGAATATTGAGGATGATTCTTTGGAGACCCTTGTGCTTTCTCTTTGGACCATTCCTCTGTCCTTTCAGTTCTCAGCGAGGTCGCTTGTGTTTATCTACCTGAGGAGGGAGAGAGAAGCTTTATCTTCTTTATCTGAAAAACTCAGAAAAGCTTGCATGATCAGCCAGAAGGCCACAAGTTCTGCTACCCAGAGACATCACAGCACAAAGCCTTTACCCAGAAGCCTCCCCAGGTCCCAGCCTGCTTCTGCTGCTATTGCAGGCAAGACAAAGATGTCAGGGTTTGGGAAAGGCAGCCCTGCACATTCACCCTTGGTGCAGTACCAGGGGAGGATTATAGCCCTGGCTTTCCTAGTGAGGCTGCAGCTTTGTACTTTTGGGCCTGATATCTCCTTTGCAGGCTAACAGAGTGGCTCTCATCCTGTCCCTGGCAACTCCCAGATGTGAGTGGAGCCTCTCAAAGACACAGCGCTGGCAAGCCCAGCCCAGCATGCTGTGCTGTGCCCAGACGGCTGTGCTTCCTTGTGTGTTGCCAAGTATCATTTTTCTTTTAGCTCCTTGTTCCTGGATTTAATAAATCCAGAACTATCCACCCTCCACTCAAGCCAGAATCCTCCCACCATCAAACATGCCCCATTTTATGCCTTCCCTATCTGACAAGGAAAATAATCTCCCCTACTTTTCTCCTTCATGCTTCTCTGTCTAAATCCTGAAGCCCTAATCCTGTTAGCATGCTCTGTTCCAGGGCTCTGTCTCCACAGGAGTAACATAATCCTGCAATAAATCTAGTAGGTCCAGAGAGACACATACATACGGATGAAGGCAGGGCTGCTGCCATCCCTGGCCTTCTCCCCTGCCTCCCCCAGCCACTTTCTTTAGCTCCCCAAGAAATTACATAGCGGCCAAGCAGCACAATAAATAAAGCTGGAGAGCAGTTACCTCCTGCCCCCTCCCTGACGCGATGCCTCTTCAGCTTCACAGTGCTTTCTATCTCCCTGTCCTTCATTCCTTTCACTCCAAACTGCTGTTGACACAACTCCCATACCCACTGGAATTAGTGCAGCCTCAGAAATCCCCCAGTCACCCCACAGTGGTTCCAGAATGTCAGAAATACAACTTAGAAGTGTTGGTGCAGAGGTGGCATGCGTGCGCACATGGAGAACTCGCCCAATCCTCCTCTAGCCTAGACATCATCTCCCACCGCTTGCTTTCTGCAGCAGATTAATTAAGCGGGTCAGCTTTCATTGATTATCAGTTTAATTTTACATGTAGACTCTGGCGTCTGGACTCAGACGGAAGTAAACATAAAGTGCATGGGGAGGGGATGGGCAGCTTTTTGATGCAGCAGTAAAAATTAGTTCCTTGACTGCTTCTTGGAAGGTGCTTTTAATTTGTTAATGTTTTTCCCATTCATCTTCTAGCTCTGTCGCGCTTCAGCACGTGCGCATGTGTGCTCTCTGCTGAGTGTCTATCTATCTATCTCTCTATCTATCTATCTATCTATCTATCTCCCTAAATCACAGCCAGGTTTTTTTCCTTCCTGCTGGTGTAAATTACTGTGACTTCTTATACTTCGATGGTGATATGTTGATTTACACCATTCGAAGACTTGGCTCAAAATATGTGCTGAGTGGGATGGGAAGCAGATAGATTGGGAGGAATAGCAATGTTCTATTTTGGTGAGGGGGAAGAAATCTTTGCTTTCTTGGCTCTCCCAATTTCACACATTTTCCTGCTAGTTCTTCCCATACTGTGAGTGCTAATTTGAGGCAGGATACAGAGCCTGTTCAAGTCAATGGGACTCTGTCCACAGTGTGCTTGGGCTCTGGGGTCGGTATTTGCAGTGCAGAGAAACCGTACACTCAGCAGCATCAGGACTTGCAGGCTTGCAGTGCATTTCTACTTGGAAAGGAGGCTGAGAGGCCAGGCACATGGGAGGACCCCACTTCTCTAACAGCACTAGGCACCTGCCCTCTGAAAATGGCCTATTTCTGTTATGCTGAGCAGGGTATGAAGCAGTCACTTGCTATGATCAGTTGGGACTTCTCAGAAACAAGGTTCACTGTGGCAGATCCTGCTGATGCAGCTGATCCTAGAGCTGGAACTCAGGTGCCATTTCTGCCCTCATAATTGGCAGTCCAGAGTGTCAAGGCCCCAGTTCAGAGTTACGTAGCTTGTTGAGTGTGATTTAGTCTGAGGAAATTACTGGGCCCCAAACCTAAAGCAGAATTGAAGTTGCTCTCCCTGGAAGCAGGTGGTTGGGACTAAGGTCATGTGAGAGATGCTTTCATCAATGCATGTGGTGGTGATAAAGTTTTTGGGCTCAGTCCTGCTTCTGCTTTCTGTCAAGCTTGACTTTGCAGAAGTCAGCAACAAATTAAACTGGTGTAAACTTGGATTCTGGCCCCTGATGCTTGTATGTGCGAAGTGAGCTATAAAAGAACAAAACTGGAAATATGTTCAATCAAAAAGAACAGCAAACCTCGTCAGTGACTGTTAAAGATGCTGGTCCATATGCAACCTTTGGCTTGTGGAGTCTTCAAACTGCTGATGGTGGGAAGCAAAGAGAGGTTGCCAGGAGAAGTCTCCCTTGGGGCTTGCTAACCCTAGGCATCTGCTGGGTCCACCATCAAGAGCCACCCCTGGGACAGAGGGACCTTTAGGCTGACCTGAAGTGCTGCTCCTTGTGCTAAAATAGTTGCACTGGCTCAGATAAACATTTCCTGTCCTCCGGTGTTAGGTTCAGAGGTAAGGTGTTGTGTGTCAGCTTCTGTGTTGACATAAAGCTGGAGGCTTTGCTGTGGTGTGGAAATACATCCACTGCAGCCTCTGTGTGTGCGCGTTCCCATAGGTTTACAAGACACACACACATGTACACATGCCTGGAGAGTGTTTCACAGTAACCACTCTTCTTATAGCCCTCCTGCTGGAAAAAAGGGTATTTGGTGTCTGCTGAGCAAGGAAAAGGATGGGAAGTGGGGTCAGACAGGGTAAAATAGGATATTAAAAACACATAAACCATGCTGTGTTGCTAAACGGTAGCAGCATGATATATATTCTCTGGATTACCATTTCTGCTCAAGTTCACGTCAACCCCAAATCCCAATTACCAGCCAGATTTGCAACCAAGGCCCTCTGTGGGGTGCTGCTCCCTGCCGTGGCAGGAGTGCCACCATCCTAGGCTGGATGGTGATGCGCAGAGGCAGCCCAGAGCTGGTTGTGGTGCTGCAAAGAGATGCTGACCCTTTCTGCAAACACCTTTTGTGCTGGAACCTGGGAGAAGAGCTGTGACATGTGCTGTGTGCAGGCCTAGAGTGGTGGGATGCTTATAAAATACTTCTTAAATGCTATTCAAGGTGAGAGGTCAGGATATCTCACTCCTCTTTCTGTCCCGGATCACAGGGATCTGCAGTTGAATTGACTCTTGCCTCCAACAGATGATTGGTGCTAGAGATTGCAACCTCCTGCTTCACTCTGAGATAAACTTACTGGAGCTCCTGTGCTTAGCACAGTGTATGCAGGGTAGGAGCCTGCAGAAGAGCCCAGCCAACATCTCAGTGAGGATGCAGCTCCTGTCTGAGTCTGGAGGATGCTTATCCCTGTCCTCTCAACCCCTGAGAGCCTCCATGCTTAGAGGGAAAGCAGGCAATGCCTGCAGCCTTGGTCTGTGAGCTTTAGTGCTTTATGCTGGGGCAGAGAAAGGGTTGAAAATTATCCTCAGGTTGGGTATTTTGTCTTTCTCCACTATGGCTCTGCAGCCTGAAACAGAAACATAAGTATCTAGTCCTTGTCCAGCCTATTAAAATGGGCAGGAGGGGTGGATTTAACATCCATCTGGTAGTTATTGATTACAGCCATCTGGTAAAGCAGCAGCCTTTTCATATCATGTCGGATCATAAACTCTCCTGAAAAACTGTCTCTGTGTGGCAGGCTGTATGTGTGTAGGAGAGGCAGGGGCGAGGGGCTGGCTGGGACAGGAGCTTGTTGCCCCAGGCAGAGGAGGCATCCTCCCTGCTCTTGCTGCTGCTTGCACACAGTGTGTCCCAGTGGTGCTCTGTGCAAGGATGTCAGCCCATTTACCCATGGAGAGGAGACAAAGATCTCACGTAGCATTCAGGGACATCTGGCCTTTTGCGTTGGAGCAGCTTTCAGTTTGGGGGTGATCTCAAAGCATCTGTAGCCTTATAGCTCGATTTACTATGAGAGGCAGCAGGGCAGCAAGCTCCTGGTTCTCCTGCCTGATGGAGGAGTCCATTCAGCATGCTGTCCTGCCAGCACCTCAGCATTCCCTGCCTGCCCCTGGGTGCTTGCCCTGGCTGGAGGCTGGCGCTGCCCATAAAGCCTCTTCTTGCTTTACCCTGCTGAGATTATTTTGTCTGCTGATCTGGTTATTTCTTTCTATGTGGAGAAGACGTAACCATATTTGTGCCCCCTCTCCCTTGCAGACATTTCAGGCCAATGAGGATGCCACGGAAGTGGTTCTCAACAAGATCCACAGCCCGGTGCTCACACGCTTTGTGCGCATCCGTCCCCAGAGCTGGCACAACGGCATCGCCCTGAGGCTGGAGTTGTATGGCTGCCGCATCACCGGTGAGGGTCCACTGTCCTTGGTCTCAAGCCCTCCTCTCTGTCCCTCCAGCAGCCTGTCCTGGGGTGCCGTTCCCACAGTTGTCGTGGTTGCTTGGGGTGGGAATGGTGACACCGGGAGGCACCCATCCCAAGGCATACACTTGGGGGACAGGCACCCAGTCCCTGGAGGCAAAGTGCTTAAACCTGCAGGGAAACCCACAAGCACTCCCTTGCAACTGCCCTGACTGTTCATGCCCTTTCCTTTCCTGCAGATTCACCCTGCTCCAACTTGCTGGGAATGCTCTCCGGCCTCATCCCTGACTCTCAGATCTCAGCCTCTTCGACCAGAGGCTATGACTGGTCTCCCAGCATGGCCCGCCTGGTGAGCAGCCGCTCGGGCTGGTTTCCCCGTGTCCCCCAAGCCCAGCCCGGGGAGGAGTGGCTGCAGGTGGACCTTGGCGTTCCGAAGAACGTCAGAGGCGTCATTATCCAGGGGGCTCGTGGAGGGGATAGTGTGACAACCACAGAGTCCCGCTCCTTTGTGAAGAAGTTTAAGGTGGCTTACAGCATGAATGGGAAGGACTGGGACTTCATCCAGGACCCCAAAACAATGCAAGCCAAGGTAGGCGCTGCCTGGAGCCGCTGTAAAATGAGCTGTGTTTCTGGCTATTTTCAGTCTGCTTAATGTGGTCCTGGGAAACTGGCTGTGTCTCCTCACTAAGAGACTCTGGGAATTTGGGTTGTCACTGTGAAATCCAAGGTTGTGTCCTCTGGTCCTGCTCATCAGCTGTACTAGAGGCTGTAGTTCCACCTTGCACCAGGGATGGCAATTTTCCTTCATATCTTGTTGTGCACCAGACCTGGGGATGTGGGCATCACCTTCTGGTCCTCCCAGCTCCTGCAGGTCAGAGTCCAAAAGTTTTTGTCTTCGATTTTGTTTGGCACAAACTAATTACATATTCTAAGGGGAAAGCTGTTGTAGCTTGCATCTCTGGAAGAGGAAGATGAATCACAACTTCTCTTTGGGAAATTTGCTGTACTAAAGTCCCTTTTGCCATACTGGCATGACCCTTAAATTCCCTGTATCATCGGAGTTCCCCATAATCTTTCTGCTTAGCAGTCTGGGAGTGACAGGGGGCTTAAGGAATAAATGAATTCTCTGCTACTGCCTGTTCTGTTTCTATGCAAACTCATCTGCTTCTGAAAATTTGGGTAAGTTTTAATTTTTCCTGATCCTACAAATGAGTCTTAGAAGGCCTGATGCTATCTATAGCCTTCTGCACAGACTTGAGTTCATGCATGGAAGCTAAAAAGCATCAGTACTTGGACTGCGAGGAAAACTGAGCATTCACAATATCCTAGAATACGCAGTAGCTTCTGTATTTGCCAAAGGACAACTGTGATCTTATGTATATGTGAAGCCAGCAGATATTCCCCAGGCTTCCCCTGCATGGCTTGGATCAGAATCCGACCCCTGGAAATAAAGCAGAGGCCAAGTGAGATTGTGCAAGTTTCTTAGGAACAGCCTGTCTGGTCCTCTTGAAACTGAGGAGGAGCAGCCCAATATCTGCTTAGCCGGACTCAATGGCCTGGAGTCGGACAGCTGAAATGTTTCAGGCTGGCTCTATCCAGCCAGACCCAAATTGCCAAGTCTGGTGGAGAGCATGTGGGATGCGCAGATTATCTGCCTTTTCTCTCTCTCTCTCTTAGCTTTTTGAAGGCAACATCCACTACGATATCCCTGAAGTCCGGAGGTTTGACCCTGTTCCTGCACAGTACATCCGAGTGTACCCAGAGAGGTGGTCCCCAGCAGGAATAGGAATGCGCCTGGAGGTGCTGGGCTGCGACTGGACAGGTAAGAGCTCCTATGCGTCTGCCCACTGGCTGCACTGGGGATGCAGCAAGCACTAAACCAGCAAGGTGCAAGTGTAAGGTTATTTCTCTCCCTGTTATCCCACCTCAGGGCCATGCCATGGCAAGGAGATTGAAGCCACGAGGGCAGGACCTGCAGTGTGTCCAGACCCCATCTTTTTACTTCTGCCTTAAAAAGAACTGGTCTTGATGCAGGATGTCCCTCTCATTAAACTCCATGTGGCAATCCTTTTGCAGACAAAGTTGGGGATTTAACTCTGTGATGTCTCTACGAGATCCCTAGGACAAGAGAAGTTGGTTCACTTTCACCCACCTGTTTTTCACAAGTGGTGTGCCTTGCAGCCACCACTGTTTTTAATACAGAGGGGAAAACTGTCTAGCACACTCACTGACATCAGTAGAGGTTGTGCCTCTGACCCTCTGAGGCTCAACAGTGATTGATTGCTCCATAGTTTTATCCCCAAAACCTAAAAATGCACCCTACAGCTAACTGGGTGTGATGCTTGTTTTTCAGTGCCAGGGGCTAGTTGATCTTTTTTTTTAATCTATTTTATTTTTTAATAATCTACTTAAATCTGAATCTGGTATCCAGATGTCAGTGATAAGGAGGTAAGATTTCCATTTTATAAGCACATCTGTAGAAGGAATTTTCTTGTAAGAATTCCCATTCTGGGAAGCTTAAAGGACACAGAGGGTTTTTTCTACCCTTTTGTAGAGTCTTTGCTACCCTTTGCTCCTCTGGTGTGCTGTGAGATGCATTACAGACTACAGCAAATCACACAACACACCTACACACAATTACTAATGATCATTTGTCACGTTTGAAGTCAATGGCAGATCTCCCCCAGGACTGGGAATCCACTGTAGATGATCTAAACTTTAAATCAAGATTAGATCTTAATTTAAATCTTACAACATTTTTGGGATGTTGTAGGAGAAGCAGGCACTGTGGCTTTCATGCAAGCAGCGGGAGCCAAGGCTCCATGCCGAAGTGGTCTCCATAGAATCATAGAATGGTTAGGGTTGGAAAGGACCTTAAGATCATCAAGTTCCAACCCCCCTGCCATGGGCAGGGACACCTCTCTCTAAACCATATTACCCAAGGTCTCGTCCAACCTGGACTTGAACACTGCCAGGGACGGAGCATTCACAACCTCCCTGGGCAACCACAGAACTGTTCGGGCAGCTCCCCCATTGCTGCTTCCTGCAGCTCCTGGGAGTCTCCCACTGCCAGATCTCTGCAGGACATTGCTGGCTGGTGGATCACAGTGTGCATCACTGCCACAAAGGGGGGCAGCTGCACAGTACCTCCAACCATGTACATGTCAGCCCCTCCATTGCATTCCTCCAAACTAAGAAGAGGGGCTTGGCATCCTCAACTTGTGCTATTTTTGGTCCAAATTTTCTTTTACAGCAATGTTCCCACTCAGTTTCAATATCAGCAGCAACAGCCCATGTTTTTTCCAGGCAGGGTGCTTTATGGTCATTTCCCAGTCTGGCTAATCATTTGCACATTGTAATGTTTAAAACTCAACTGCCAAGTCATAAATATTCGTAGCTTTATTGATCTAGAGGCATTCAGCTTTGTAATCAGAGCTGGGCTTGTAATCTTGTGGCTTCACCATGTTATAAAAAGCATTTGTATCCATGATGCAACCTGGGGAGCAGAGATAGCCCATGGCATTATCTGCATGCTAAATCCAGGCTGGCTACATGCAGCAGTTCTTGACAGTGCCAAGATATAGCCCTCCTTTGCTGGGAGGACCCAGGCACATCACAGAACTGGCTCTGAAAACCCAATCGCACTTGCTTGGGCACAAGATTAAGGGATGGATTAAAATAAACTGATTTAAAACGTTTTCAAGTGAGGGCCTAAGCCTGTGTTTACCCTACCCAGCTGCTTCTATTTCTTATCAGCAAGGACGCATCTTAATCACTGCGTCAAACAGGTAACTTAACAGCAACTGTGCGTACGCACTAGTTGGCTAGTAACTCAAAAATCGGGAAACAGGCAGTCAGGAATCGGCTTCTTTCAAAGACCTGCCAAAATTTTCCCTCTGAAGAGTGGAGATTGATGAATGTTCACTTGCAGCTGGTTTTCTCTCTTTTGAAGTTCCAAACATCTGGTTTCAATTGCTCAGTGACTTTGCATTTTGATCAGCGGTTACCACCAGTTGCACAGACACTTGCAGGGCCAGGGAGAGAGAAAGCGAGCAAGCAAGACCTCTCTTTTTCACTTTCCATTTCACACATGATGTTGTCCTGCCTGCTGTGTTCATTATCTCTTGTAACCATCGTGTTGCAGCTCTGCCATGGTAACTGATTCTTCAAGATATATTTCTGCGGCTTGTCTAGGGCAATGCAACACTGTTGATTTACATCCGCTCAGCATCTGTGTCCGTATGGGACTTGGCTTTCAAGGTCCTTCCACATTTTCACATTTCAGCTATAAATCTCAGTATACGAGAGCAACAGCCTAAAAAAAATTGTACCACCAGCTCTAAATAACTTGCAGCTTTTGATATGTTACCTTCACCTGCTGCTCTTTCTTTTTTCTTTTCTTTTTTATGGCATTTTTCTGTGCCTGGCTGCTTACAATTTTCTTCTTTGTTGAATCTGGAGTTTTATGGGTTTGTAACAAATTTGAACTTACAAATTAAAAGACTTTGATGTTGTTTGGTATTTTATCCTGAACAAAAGACAACCACTGGAAAGAAAAAAAAAAACCCTGAGAGTTTATGTGCAACATGTTTAATAACAGGAAAATGAAAGGGCAGAAAGGAACCTATGGAAAATATTCAATGTATTTAGCCATTTCCTCCTGCTTCTGGCTTATTAAATGATATCCTGAAGGGTGCCAACAAAGAAACACAATCACACACAACTGAGCAAAGCAGCCTCTTTTTAAAAACGGAAAGAATCAAGCCTGCTGAACTCCAGTTAATGCACCCATAAAAGGAGAGCCTGCTGGAACCTAATGTCATTTACTGTTGATCTTAATATCCTTCCCTTTCTTGCTTAAATTTCCCCTGACACCTGCTTGGAGGTTGTTTCACACAGGCTGTGTTGGAGAGAGGGAAATTGGACAGAGACCCTTTGAAAGTGTAGTCAGGAGCCCGGAGTGTGAAACCAGATGCTTTCTGCAGCGAGCCAGAGCGCAATAGGGGATCCTCGGGGTCCGTTTGCGGTTACGTCATTTGTGGGTTTGAGTGACTTGTTTTATAAATTGGCACAATTGGTGGGAATGTTGTGTGTGCTTTTTTTAACGCGTCATGTGCCTTTCTGAAAGGAAAAGGCGTCTTGCCTGTGGTCCCTGTTACCCAGCAATGGCAGCCAAGCGGATTGCCAGCACCCGTGTACATTAAAAAATTAAGAGGAAAAAGTAGCGTGTATGTCTAGAGGAGAGCCTCATCCAAAGGGAACTCTAAATCAAAGGAACTCCCATATGGAAACAGCCGGTTCACTTGAAGTTCAAACTATGCTGACATTTCTAGCATGTGGAAATTTCATGGTATTCTTGTTCTGTCTCTTCCTGCCATTATAAGAACACAAGAAAAAGATTTTTTTTCTTTATTTCCTCCTACCTAGGCTTTTTATACTGCCTATTGAAATAGCATCTCTACTCCATTCTTTTTCAGATGTAAAGCCCACAGCAGAGACGCTGGTGCCCACTTTGAAGAGTGAAGAGACCACCACCCCATATCCAACTTATGAAGAAGCAACCGAGTGTGGTGATAGCTGTGGAGAAGAGGAGGGTATGTATCAGAGCAGCACATCTTTATCTCAGTAGATGATGAGTTAAGAGCTAAGCAAATACTCTTTATCTTCCCATTAGCTCCTATATATGGGGCTGATTCCTGGAAAGCTTAGAGTAATATTATTAGTGATAGGCCAAGATTAAAAAAAAATCACAAACAGAACCTGCCAGAATCTGATAAGTTATATCAAGGAAGGATGCAAGAGCAAGAGATAGCAGCTAATTCAGTCCGTAGGGTGCAAGACTTGACTTGAAGAGCTGCTCTCCCAGCCTCCTTACGTGACCTGAAGAAACTCACTTAGTGCCCTGTTTAGAACCACCTCCATTCCAGATCCCCTTGGCTGGGTGTCATAAATTCAGAATGTGATTCATGGGAGAGATTCAGACTGCCTGGTATGTAGGGCTCCTTTTGCAGTGGTCACAACTGTGAGAGTAAATCACATGTAGAGAAGGCTGATGTCCTGAACATCTATATGTTAAGGATCGTCTTCCCTAATAACAGCTGCCTAAAATTCAGGAGGACAATCTGGGCTCCCTGTGCAGGCAGCAGAGAGAGAAACACTAATTTCAGGCAGGAGATTGTCCTTCCAGCCTTAGATGGCTGTCAGATATACAGGGAACGGTTTGGTATCTCTGGCACTTGCCTGCCTCTTCCGACTGTAGAAGAGGTTGAATGTTAGTTTAGGCTACATGCTAAGAGTCAGTGCTGGGAGGAACTGATATTCTCTGCCTCAGATTCCTCCGTGTAGAAGCAGACATTCTGTTCTTCTGCTCCTTGCAAGGGAGATGTGAGCATCTAAAGCTTGTGAAATGTGCAGATTAAGGGGAGAGGGCTTAGCAGAGCCAAGCAGGGTTAGTTGTACAGTGCATTGTGTAGGAGGTACATGCCTCTGGGCAGGACAGCAGAGCCTGGACCTCAGCACTGGGCCTGGGGCATATACACCAAGACTTCAGCAAGACATCTCATGAGGAAAGGCTATCCTCTGAGACAGCTCCTAGGGCTTCTGTCATTTCAGCTTCCAGTCCCAGAGAAAAAAATAACGGGTTTTGAAATAAATATATTTTTTAAAGGACAATAATTGGCTTTTTCACACCTCCCATCAGGACTCTGCTGTAGTTGCGTTCTGGAAATGCAAGTTGCAGAAGTAGCTTAAAGGGCCTGATTCTTATTGCTCTGCCTCAGTGATAAGCCTGTGCAGCCCTGCTACCATTGAGGCACTTGGGAAACTGCCAAGAGGATATTTAGGCCAGTAATAGTCACTGCAGGAACACGATTCCTGGGTGCAGTCCAGGGCAAGACAGCGACTACAGTATGTTGTGGAGCGTGGAACCAGCCTCCCCATCAGCTTCCCTCAGATTTAGCAACAATTTTCATTCTCATACTTCATAAACAATGAGTATATTTCTCTGGACAATCAGATTTATGACAGCCAAACAGAAACAATGCTTCTCTCCAGGGTATGAGATTAGATTGGAATAAAAGGATCCATGATCTCCATTGTTTTATTTCAGAGTGGGAGCATGTAAAGAAAGCCCTCGGCTCCTCACAGCAGAGTTCTGATGCCTATCGCTTGAGTCACTCACCTCCTTCTGGCTATCGCTAACTATGTGGGCACTGTGATTTAAAACTTCCTCTTTGCTCAAGAAAAACCCTGCCTGTAATTGGGCTGTGACATGCATGTCTACTGAGTGCTTGGAATGGTCTCAGACCATTTCTGTGCCTTATGGCTGCTTCCCCAACCAAAGGAGCTAGCAGCTGCCTTGCTGCTACATGCAGCCCTTGGCATGTGCCCTCCTGCCTACAGACCTGTCTCTGCGGGAAGGCTCTCCAGAGCTTTTAAAGCTGTTGACACAGGGGAATTAGCTCTGCTCCTGTTTCACGGATGAAAAGTTAAATGACTTGCCCAAAGACCATGTACTGAGTCCATAGTGGAGCTAGAAATAGAAGCTGGCTTCTTTCACTCAGAATCCAAAACCTTGAGCTCATGGTGGCCTCACATTTCCCCTGGTGGCATTTCCACAAGAAGGTAGGAAGTGGTGAGTGACAGCTCACCACGTTGACAGACAGCTCCTGTCTGGTGCAAGTGGCTAGATCTGTCACTGAGGAGATGGGTTTTTGGAGCACTTGAGATTCTCCTTTTGGAGCCAAAGCAGGAACTGATGAGCACAGGGCACTCAGGAAGCACTCTTCCCTGACATTTAAGAAGGCATTTAATATTTGACCGCTCTAGGGGGTGAATAGAAGGTGCTGATTAGAGTCTGGAAGCATTTGGTCCTTGCTTTTATATTTGCTTAGTTTGGTGGATTAGCAGCAGGACGTGGGGCGAGTATTTTGATGGTGCAGAACTTAAGGCTGATCCCTGGAGCTGATGAAATGTGAGATAGGTTAAAAGCATCAGTGTGAATGAGATTTCATGCTTTCGTCAGTATTTATGGCTTGCAAGCTATTTTAGTTTTGGGTTGTTTTTTTAATAGCAACCCTTCATGGGTAGGTCATTTTTTAAACCAACTTTATTTTGCTTCTATTTCTTTTTATAAGATTTCCACCTTCCTGCAAACTTCAACTGCAACTTTGACCTCCCTGAAGACCTCTGTGGTTGGTCACACGACTTGGCAACGGGTTATACGTGGTCTTTACAGCCTACAAACACCTGGACTGGCAACTCTGAACCAAGCCCTGAGACTGTGCCTGGTAAGATGGTGAATATCAAAGCAGGGAAGAGGGAGCTAATGGGGCTTTTTCCGTCTGAACAGTATGACTGATTATTGCACAGCTATCAAGAGCTGTGAATGCTGTGCAGAGCTGAACATTTTCTTTTGTGGAAGCTTTCAGATTCTTTGCTACATGGTTCATGACTTATTTATAGGAGTGTGACCACTGGCACTGAATTATACTATCCTCTTGAGATAGTCTTGAGTCAGACACTGGACTTTGAATCCCCTGTGACTGTGAAGGCTAGCCTGGGCTTTCTTCCACATAGGACCCAAGGTTTTTCCCCAGAATGCATTTCCTTTTTCGTTAGAGATGCATTTCTTCCTCCCATATGTTGCTCGGATTGCTTATAGTCTTCAGCTATTCTGCACTCTGGGCTTGCACAGGCTGGATTTCAGCCTCCTCCAAGTGAAGGATGAGCTAAGCCCTAAAAATGCTGTAATATGCCAGCGTCTTGCTGTTTGACTTTTGCTCTTTTTTTCTTCTGTACTTTGGAAGCAGAAGATTTGCCTAATTTATGGCGGCCCTCACTGATGCTCTGGCATGGGTTGGAAGGGAGCCTGCCTCTGGCAGTGTGGTTGACAGATTAAGTTCTTCAGCTTCACATCTTGGAACTAGCCTTGGGACTCATGCCCTTTCTTTACCCTCACTGACTTTGTGGCACTGGTGGCATGAAGAATATTTGCCAGTTCCTTACAACAGTAGGCTGTGTCACTACAGCATCACTTCTCTTCACTATCAGTCATTGCTTAAGACTCCCCCAAGGAGAGCTGGCTTCTCTTACCTCTCTTCAGCTCTACCCCGTGACTCCAGTGTCTGCATGTCGTGTGCCCAGGGAGGCATGCATGCTGAGGGCTCCTCTGTGCCCTCCCCAGTAAAGGTTGAGTCTTGAGACGAAAACACGCAGGCGAACCTGTTAGCCACCTGGCAGAGGCGCTGGCCAGATTGGCAGTGCTGCCAGCCAGTTGGAAAGCTGTGCAGCCAACACCTGGTAGGCAGTGCTAAAGAGGAAAATATGTATTCCAGAAACATATGGGAAGAGGAGAATCTGCTACATCTCCACACACAAATCACCCCCACACAAATGCACACATCATTTCTCTCTTCGGCTCCTGAGGTGCTCGGCATTTTTCTAAGAGACATGGAAATGCTGTAAGTGCAGCCTGTGTGGACATCTGACAAATTCTTCGGCGTGACACAGGGACACAGCATCTGCTATGGGGAAAAATATTTTCATATTTCAAGTGTTTATCTCTTCAGCATTTGAGTGCTTTAGAAGATTAGTATCTGGAGCTCAGTGGAGCCTCAGGCAACAGGAGAGAACACTTACAGCCAGGCCCAGACTTAATAACCCTCCCCATCTCATTCGCTGTAATAATGTTTAATTAATATAAGCCTCCTGCAAGTAGGATAAAAATTACTTATTTTTATAACTCAGACTCAATTTTTCATTTCATTTCCTCTCCCCCGAGTCTCCCTACAATTAGCTGGCCATAGTTTCTTGGAAGACTGTGTACGTGCGCATGTGTATGCACAGCCTGAGAGAGGCTGGTAATGCCTCAGACAGCTCAGCATGCAGTTCTGGTTTTTACCCTTCTGGTTTTTACCCTTTCTTCTCTTTCCTAGTTAGTTATGAATTGGAAAACTTCATCACTGAACCCGGGGAACATTTTCCTACTGACTGCAATGATCCGGTTTTGTGCCAGGTCTCTCTTACAGTGCTGGGCTAAGCTGGGCACTGAAGCACTAATAAGGCAGGGGCACTGGAACCCTGCCTGGCAGATCAACTGGCTCTGTACAGGCAGAGGAAGAGGAGGAGGTAGCAGCTCCAGGGGGCTGAAGTGACTTGCCCATGGTGGTGGGAGAAGTCAGCAGCAGACACCAGTCACAGGCTGAAGGATGGCTGTTGGCACTGCCATGCTGCAGCCTTGCCCACACAGAGCAGGGCTGCAGAAGGGCTGACATGCAAAGGCATCACTGCCATGCCTCGCTTTGGTCTGCTCTTAGAAATTAAGGCGACACAAAAGGAAACAACTATTTGCTTTTTTCCTCCCCACAAAGCTTCTAAAAGCAACTTGAAAAACATAAAAAAGAGGCAATGCCAGCCCCTCGGTGGGGACAGAATCGAAGCATTGTTCGGTTCACACTCCCCCATTCTTCCCCTGCCTTTCCCTCGCACTCCCTCCAGCACTTTGTTTCTACTTAGAAAATCCATCCTCAGACTCCAGGGAGTAAAGAATGAAAAGGCCTTGTTCGGGGTGGTCTTTTCTTGTGAATTCCCCACCCTGGGGTGAGCAGTTGGGTGAAGGAGAGCAGCTGTGCTTGGTTTAGGGGCAGGGCAAAAGCTAACGGGAACTCAAAGCTGCTGGAGCCCAATTTACTCTGATTTAAAGCTGCTGGCCTGGGCTAGAGGCCGTGGCTGCTCCATGGTAGCAAGGAAATGTGCTGTGCCTTTAAGAGCCATGTGGGAGGTGTTTCTGTTTCTTCTGAAAATGGCAAAACAAAAATTAAAATTAAAAGGGGAGCAAAATAATAATAATGAAAGGAGGAGCCTGGCTCAGTCTGCATGAGAGAAAGGGGGAGGAAATGACCATGGTGAAATATCCTCTGTGAGGCACTTGATTAGAAAAGTCTGCTGAGAGACAGGCCTGAATTCCTCAGATATCTCCCAGTTTCATGTTATGCGCTGGATGCAATTCCTCCTCATCTTTGGCATGGAGAACTTCTTGAGACTGACAAGACACCCACTGCTCTCATCCCACTATTTTTATTTCCAAGATACTCTTTCAGGCAGCTCTGCGTTTCTTTTTTTAGCCCTGTGTTCCTTGGGCTCTTCACACCATGGATTAGCTCCACGTCCTCTCTTGCAGGCTCCCATTACGTGTCTGGGGACCCCGTTGGTGGAAGTGGACCAAAAGTGCTCAACTCAGCAGAAACCCAGCATGGTTCCAGCTGTTACCCTGCCCTTTGCAAGCCTAGAAAATACCGTTGCTCCCTTTTCCATGCCCCCCACAAGGAATTGCCAGGATTTTTCCCTCTGTGTGTTTTCAGATGTTTCCCGTCTGTAGAAAGATTCCCCTTAGCTGCACCTAGCACGCTTCGAGGAGCAACAAGTTCAGGTTTCAATGAGGCTTCATCCTCCTGTCCTGCTGCACGCAATGGCAATGTGCCATTGATGTCAAGATAGAGGTCTTAAGACCTGAAAATAAATCTGGGTTGGCAAGTTGAGCACAGCTCTTCACCATGGTCTTGATCCTGAAGGGTATAAAAATCCTGGCTCATATCCTTAGCTGGTAGGTGCGTCTGCATTGCTTCTCAGTGATGCTACGCTAATAGGCCAGCACTGCAGAGCTGGAATTGCTGTGTTTTGCCCATTTTTTTTCCCCTCCCCTTTTCTTGCAATCAGTGAGTAAATACCCTGTGGTCCTAGAAGAACACTGTGAGGTTGCACCTCTACCACACACTGCTTCTCCATCGGGTGAACGCGGTGTCAGAGTTCAGGGCCCTGGCAGCGTTGTGAACCCGCTGTTGTTTGGGTGTTGGCAGCTGTACATGCACACAGAAAAGGAAGCCGTTTTAACCTTGCAGCTCTCCTGACCACATAGCTCTTGGGCTGGGCTTCAAAGCCCACCGAGAGCTTCTGCTGTGGGCCACAGCCTTGCTGGCTTTGAGGGTCAGGAATGCTGCTCATTTGGGTTGCAGACGCTGCAGGGAAAGGTTTATTTGTTTCAAAGCGTTTCCAGCAGAGGAATGTTTGTAGTGCTCTGAAGTTTCATAAGACCTTATTTTTTAAGGAAAAGAAATGTTGAGCTGTTTTTACGCTGATGGTGACCCTTTACCATTCCGGTGTTTTTCCCATGGGATCTTTAAAAGGGAAAGTTTCATGTTTTTCCTGCAGTTCCATGAGAACTGCTGCCTAAAGGCCTTGATCCTACTCTGTCCAAACCAGCAGAAAGGTTTTCATGGTGTTAATGGAGCAGAGGTGGGCTCAAGTGGGTCTGCACTTACTCTCATGAGACTCACTCTTACGGTTTATGCCTTGAGGACGCATTCTGACCTCTAGGGTCAATCCTGCCTCTTTTGAAGTAGGAGGGAGCTTTGCACGTGGAGCGGTGTAAAAGTCAAGCACTTCTGCACAATGAGTGAGCAGCTGCATGCTGTGGGAAGGAGACCACATACCCAGCAGTCTGCACCACACATGCAGTGCATGCACCACACATGCAGTGTATGCACCACAGACTGCCTCTCAACAAAGCTGTACATGGCTCTCCTGACCATGGTTTGCACAGTGGAGGAACAGCAAACCCTAAACCATTCATACCTTGGCTGCCTGCCACATGGTGGAGCTGAGATTCCCCAGCACCCAGGTCAGGGGAAGTTTGCTAGGGCCAGGACGTGGTCGGGCTGTGGCCATCCTCATGCCCATACTCTCTGTTATGAGCGAAAGCGCATGGCCACAGTCTATCCCTGCATTGCCAGCAAAGCTCCCACTCACTTGGACTGGGCTGTAGGCAGAGAGTCACTTTTTGGTCCCAAACACAAGTGACACACACTGCCTTTAAAACCCGACTGGAATGCTCTTTGCAAAGCAAGACGCTGTCTCACAGATCTTAGCATGTGCATCACTCCATCACTTCACAGCAGTGACTTAGCAGCCTGTGAATCACAGAGCCCGGCTCAGGAAAGCATGTGTGCACATGAGCAAGCTGCAGTGTGCGCTGGAAGCACTGACGTGGTTAATGCTGTTAATTCTGCATGCAAGATGCCAGGTGCGGGTGGGTCTGTGGGCACCCTTTCACATAGGGGTATGCAGGGTGCCCGCTGGGCTGGCGGTGGACGCGGCGCAGTGGCAGGAAGCTCACTTAGCATAAATGTCAGGCTCTAATTGGCATTTGGTTTGTCAGGGACACTGTGCCCTCCATGCACTCGGGGGGGAGGCAGTAGGACTCACAACTGTGCCATGGTGTTGAGGATGTGAAGCTTAATTAAGAGAGAGGATGTAATGGCTCGTCCATTAGAAAGGCTCCGGAGAGCAGGCGGAGGGCTTGGTTCTGGGCAGGTGTGGGGTTTTATGCCTTTTCACGGACTGATTTAGAGAGTGAAATGGCAAGGACTTGGCAGGCTAATTAACACATAATCAAAATTGAGGGGATTTTCCAGCAGATGCAGTGATCTAGTTAATATAAATATTAGTTCTACGGGGGATTGATTTCCCTTCATAAATGAAAGTCTGTCATTGAGGACAAGCCTGTCACTGAAATTATTGTGGCAGCCTTTTGAGGTGAATTTGCATGACTTGCCAAAAAATTAAGAATATAATAACTATCCAGTTTCAATCTGCATATTCATGCAGCTGCATCCCCCTGCTACCAGAGCATCCTGCAGCCATGAGGGGATCTGAGCTGATCCTCACCTAGTAAAAGGGAAGGGCTTTAATGGGACAAAAGAATGGCAGGATCAGGCCCCGCTTGGTCCTGACACAGGATGGTCAGGGTGGTATTTTGTAGTATGCAGGCAGCAGAGAGGGCCCAGGGCAGAGCTGTCACCTATGGGATTTGGTAGACAAGAGGTGGCTGCCGTTGGGACGTGGTGCTGCTACGAAAACACACCATGAAACAAACTTTGCTATGAAGAAGAATGTAGTGACCTTCGGAGGGACATAAGTGAAGACAACTCAGTGTGGGTCCTCCATAGGAGCGGCAGCAGCTGTAACTCAGTGATACCCAGTGAGGTGGAGATGCAGGGCGAATCTCAGTAATTGCTTGTGTACATCCTGCCCGACATGTTTTGCTGGAAGACCTCCAGATGTGCTGCTGAGATCGATGAGGAAAGGTGCTTTTCTTGGGAGAGGGGGTGAGACGTGCAGGACCCAAGCACAGGCAGGCTGACCTTGCAGAGGGGGCAGCTGCCATAGCTTGTGCTTGCAGCCTGACCCAGACCACAAGGCTTCATCCCCCACTGCCCCTAATGTCCTCTCAGATGGCTTGCTAGCAGGAGGGTATGGGTATGCCAAGAGGAAACCACATTGGCCAGATGGTTTGTTTGCAGAGCCTGGCTGGTGATTTATCTAGGACTTGCTGCCATTCACATACAAGTGACTCTGCCATCATCTGGCTGGGGTGGTTGCGTGTTCACGGTCCTTTGGCTCTCCTATATCCAGATGATCCCATAAATCTTCCATGAGATTTATGCTGTAGCATCAGTTGCAAAAGCAGTGGTAGGTTAAAATGCCTGAGGCAGGTTTGGCCTGCCTTTTTTGAGCCAGCATGTTGAACTGCCAGTGCCGATTTGGTGGGGGGTGTAGCTGCAGTGTTATCTGGAATAGAGGCTGCAAAGCAGAGTTCTGGGAAAGAGATTAAAATGTATTTCTGATCCTGAAAGAATCGATCAGCTCATCATTGCAAAGCTCCTTTCAAGTGTTTTAGCAGTCAAAATCAGCCTTTCAGGTTCCTTCTGTGCCAAGCACTTCCATTGACTGTATCAAACAGAGCAGCTACTGGAACCACCGGGCTCCCACATGCTGTTCCAACAATTAGCTCCAAAGTGCCCCTGTTCAGTCAATCTCAGCAAATTTGCAGGGCTTTTCAGGAGGTCCAGCTAGCCATCAGAGTGATCCAGCCATTTCATCTTCACATGATGCAGAAAGACATGTCTGCTTGCACTCAGGTTCTCCACTCCAGAAACTGGTACCAGGAGGGGAGCACATGGTGCCCAAACCTTCACTGCTACCTGCAGGGGAGCATCTGGGTTCATCACCTGAAGACTGATCCTCCCCACAGCCCTAGGGACTGCCAGTAGGTCCTGGAGAGCTCTATGGGCCCCAGCAAGCACTGGGCAGGGAGAACAGGAGAAGCAGGACGTGGGAGGCCTCCTGTGGCTCTGAAGGAGCCTGTGCGATTGAGGGGGACATTGGTTTTGGCTGCAGTTTAGGAGTATCTTTGATACCGCAGCCTGATAGGAATGGGAACAAACAGGAGGTCATTGGCATCCCTGGCAGGAGACATGTGACTCAGAGGCACTAAAGCTCTTTTCCTGAAGTGATGGAGGCAATGGCACTGGGTACCAGCAGCTCCCAGTGAGGGGTGTGGATTGTGGGGGATTTCCAACTGCACAATAAACACAGTCCCATGTGGGCTTTGGGTGGATGCAAGGATGACTCGCATCCCTGCACTCAGACAGGCTGCCTAAATACTGGCACCAAAGGTCAGTCCTGAACTTTGAGGAGCTGGATTTGATCATTCTTGAGCCTGGGTGGTGCTTTTATTAAAGGTTTCCCTGTGAGACCATTTCAGCTGTGAGATAATTGTGCGATTGCAGTCTGATTTGCTCTTCCACCTTGTTTGTTGTTGCTGCTTTTCTCTTTGAAGAGGCTTGTAGTGAATTACAAAAAGAGGGTTTTAATTCAGGAGACCTTGATGACTTATTATGCCTTATCACTCCTTAAGCATGGAGTACAGCTTGCTCTTTTTTTTTTTTGCCTTCCCGCACTTGTTTATCTCCCCCATCTCCTCCACCACTACCACTCTGAGGTACATCACAAGAACACTCCTCCATTAGAGAACGGCATGGTACTTTTTCAAGTGATTCACTCAAGCAGGAGTGGGCAAACATGCTTTCATCTCTTTCTCTGCTATTGTTTGTTGGCATAAAGTGCCCAGTGGCTCAGGTACATTTCATAGGTGCTGGAAAATACTGCTGGAAAGCGTTGCTCTTTCTTTTTCCTGTGGCCGGTCAGAGACAGATTTGTCCTTCACGCAGCACAGTCACTGGAAGTTCATATGGAGCCGATACGCTTTTGAAATGTCTTGACCATACATCCCAGGAGCAGAGTGATGGCAGATCTTTCTGCTGTCCTGTCCTAAATTTATCTTAGAAAGCTGTGTAGCTCACGGTGGTTGGTTTCAGCCCAGCTCCCTGGCAGTGACAAACTTGCAGTGACAAACCAGTGGCTGTGCAACCACCGACCCATTTCCCCTGGTCTGGGATGTTACGGGATTGCTGAGCAGCAGCGAGGTCAGCTGCTGTTTTCTGGGTGGAACCTGTCTTTCCATGCCCAGGGTCTAAGTTCAGGTCTCTCTGGTTTTGGAGGCATTTTGGGTGCCCTTTGCGAGATTCTCAGTTCAGACACTACTCTTCTGCCATTGCTGTGGGCACTGAAGCCACAGAGGGAGCAGGGCAAGCAGGAGCCAAGCTGCTGCTTAGTGCTTTGTCCATCAAGCGCAGCAAGCTAAGATGTGAGGAAAGGAAGTAACAGACCTTTAGGTGTGGCCCTGGGGCAGACATAACCCCCACGGGCTACAGGAGAGCTGGCATGAAGTGACATTTGCCCACCGTGTAGCAAGAGAAGCACATTCATCCTTCTGTTGAGTGAAATGCAAACTACAGCAATGTCCTGTTGTCCTGTCTGTGTTGCCTGGTACTGCAGGCACTGCAGCTGGAGCAACCCAGGGAATCCAGCTGGCCATTGGGCATGATGTGGGGGACAGGTAAGGATCACATCAGCTATACGCTTGGCTTTCAGTCTGTGCTAAGGGACTTCAGGCATTCAAGCTGCAAATGGGAAACTCCTTGAGGAGGCTTCTCATTGGAGAGGGCTGGAAACCACTGATTCCTGCCCAGGGATTTGTATCCATGCACTTTTGCTGCTATCGGTATTCATATCAAGTATCTCCAATTCCAGTCTCTCAGCCTTGAACTTCTCCTGAGATATCAAACATACTGAATCTCCTCCCTGAGGACTGACAAAAAGCATGGCACAATTCAATGTAATATTAAAGCAAGTGAATCCCTGCTGTATGTATTTCAGCTACCTTCAAGTCTGCAGCTACCCAGTTGTTACCTGTGCATACTTCGCTCACTGGGACCACGTCCTTCCTCTGTTCTGTGCTTTAGGGGCTGTTTTGCTGCACTACAGAAAAACTGAGAGGCAACCTTTCCTGTTGTCGTGCATATCCTCAAAATTGTCAGCTAGATCCTGATTGTGGAGTATTTACAGCTGGGGATGAAAAGAGGCAGGATGAACACAGCTTGAGATCCCCATCCCGAGATGAGTTTTCAGTGCTGGCAGTTAGAAAAACCCACCTCAGGCTTGTTCACTGAGCGAGCTCCCAGGAGAATAAATACACCCCCCTGCCAATGTCATTACTATGGCATTGCTTCTTCTGACAATAACTCTCTTTAATTTCTCCTAATTATGTCGCTCTTTGGCTTACCGCTTTCTGGTGTTGCTGCTGGTCTCCTGCTGGGACAGACAGACTGGTGAGGAAAGTGTGCTCTTCGATGCCCTGCCCAGGGCGCAGCAGTGGCATGGCTTGCTGTGCACACAAGTAGATGCCAGCATGAGACCCCATTCCTGCAGGCACGGGTGTGGGAGTACTGCCAAAGCTACCTGGCAGGAGGTGAGACACTTGTTGCAAGGGCCCACAGAATATAATATAATACAATATAATGGTGTTTTCCTCTTTGTACAGATGGCAAGAATTACCTGCAGCTGCAGAGCAGTGGAAGGAGGGAAAGCCTGCGAGCCCGGATCGTCAGCCCCGCCATCTACCTGCCCCGGAGTGCTGTCTGCATGGTCTTCCAGTACCAGGCATGGGGCAGCAACGGAGTGATGCTACGGGTCTGGCGGGAAGCCAGCCAGGAGCACAAGGCACTGTGGGTCATCATGGAGGACCAAGGGGAGGAGTGGAGGGAAGGCCGCATCATCTTGCCGAGCTATGACATGGAGTACCGGGTAAGATGCTCAGGGAAGGTGTGTTGGACCGGGCAGGCATCTCAGCATCTTTATTTCAGTGTTTCAGAGCCAGGGCCCATTCATCATTAGGGAATGTGGCTGTTTTCATTATGTTTCTCAAGTTACCATAGTAACTAAACGACACTGTTTGTTATTCAGAGAGTGCCTGTGTTCTGCATAGACTTGGGCCTTTGTTCAGCCTGTTGCCTTTTATATTCCTCAAGTCTCCCACTTTCCAAATATTTCCCTTCTTTTTTTGTTTCGATTTGTTCAGTGTTTTCCCACCACCCCCCCCCCCTCCCCCCCCAGCTGATGGTCATCAGGTAGTTTTGACAAGAAGCAGAGCTCCAGAGAGCAAACCCAAACCCTCCAGCCAGGAGAAGTGGGAAGCTGGGAGGGAGCATGGCCAGCTCTTAAGGATAGGCAACAAACAGCCCTTCACCAGTCTCCATGAATCCATTTCTCAGACGCCTCATTAGACCAGATCAGAGGGCTAGGTTGCAGCACTGTCAGGAGATCAGTGGAAGTGAAGGGATGATCTGGAGGGAGCTGTGCTGCTTGCTGCAGCCGCCTGAGTCCCTCTGGCAGGGCTGTGCCAGCACCCCACAGAGAGGCTGCTGCTTCCAGGAGTGCCTTTGGCATGATTAGCCCTTCCGGGCAGTGTGCCGTTTGCTGGGGAGCCAGGGCTACTGTTGTCACTTGCTAATGAGCATCAGCACGGCATCCAGCACCCTCCAAAGCAGAAGGGAACACACTTACAGGCTTGAGGTAGCACTTCAATGACCACCCCTGCAGGGAGCCTTGCTCCATCCAGCTTCCAGCCCTGACCCTGACCCTGGGAGCTGCTGCCTCCCATGTGGAATGATGGCCCAAGCTTGGGACCAACAGCTCTGACACTCTGTGTCCTGCACAGTCAGATGCTGAGCCCTTTAGGGAGGTAGCCCGGGCTGCCTGGGCATCCTAGATGGAAGGGGTCACCTAGTTTGGGAAGAGGAGGTTTGTGAAATACATAGGCCTAGGAAATTATTTGGACCCTCGAGAGCAGGCAGGGAGATATACAGGAAAAGCTTTTCACTGGAGCTGCATGACTAGTTTGCATGTGTGCGTTTGGCTTTTTAATAAAATACCAGTAAACACAATATGCCTACAGATAAGAATGATGGGCACTGGCTGACTAGTTTGTGCGTTAAATGTGAATATGCCGGCATTAGCTAAATAACAGCATCATTATGTAAATATGCAAGTCTCTCCACTCAGCAGTTCTTAGAGCTAACGACTCTATTTATTTTTGTAAATATATTTTGCCTGTGATTAAGTAGGAATAAATTGACCCTTCTCCGCTAACATTTCAATACTTCTTATGTAATATTAATGGGAACAACACTTTACTGTTAATGTAGCCGTGCATTTTGTGTCCTTCCCTTCCTTTTTCTGATCATAGTCCAGTTAATACCACAGGCCAGATCTGCTGCTGCTGTCAGTCAGTGTTAGGTGCCACTTGCATCGTTTGTGCAAGGGCCGGGGGACGGCCTGCAATGCAGAACATTGATTCACTGAGTCTGTTCTATAAGAGAGGCATTTAACTGAACAAGTTGTAAGCCACATGCTGGCAGGCTAGGTAATGATCTTTCCCTGGGGAAAGGGTGGTAGAGTCAAGGCAAGAAGTAGGACTAGTCTCAGGTCATCCGCAGGTGTGCAGGGAAAGCTGGGAGCATGTTTGCTGCCCTTTACCTCAGGAGTAGCAGCCACTCTGTGCCTCCCAGCACTGACATTTCTGTCCCGGTTTCTCACAGATCGTGTTTGAGGGATTTATACGCAACGGCTACTCGGGAGAGCTCGCCCTCGATGACATCAGGATAGGCACCGACATCCCGCTGGAGAACTGCATGGGTACGTTCTACATCCAGCCATGGGGGCCAGGGGTGGCTGGTGGGGCTGGAGAACCTTCCCGTGCAGGCTCCATGGGCCACTTCTCCCCTGCTTGTGGTACTGGGAGTTCTGGATCTCAGCTGGGACTTTGCTTGCTCATGAAGGAAATGAGGGGGACTCAGTCTCTGTGGGATGGGGGCTGTAGGTGCGAGAGTCAGGAAGCACATGTCTGTGCCACGCAAAGCTGGAAGAGCAGCTGAGGGTTACCGAGGACTATTCTGCGTGATAAGGACATACACCAAATTTAAAAGGAAAGTGCTGGACAAAGGAAACCAGCTGTCAGTCAGTATTACACGCTTGGAGGGGGCAATGAGTTCAAAAGGAGTCTTCTCTAGTAAGAAAGAAAATAGCAGAGGGGTTTTACAGCAGTGTTAACAGCATAACAAAGGAAACTTTTATCCTAGAATTCACTGTTCCCGAACCAGGCCAAAAGCCAGGTGGATTCATTCAATGTGAAAGGCAGAGAGGACTTTAAAAAAAAAAAAAAAGGGAAAAAAAGTGTGTTTTAGCAGTTTGGTGGTGGAGCTGTTGGTCTACGCTGTTCCCCTAACCGGCGTATCCATGCGTGCACTCTGATACCTCTCGTGACCACCTGGATTGGATGTGGATTTAGAGCCATCCCAATTGAGCATGGGACCAGCAGTATCCCCTTAGGGGGCTCTGTGCTGAGAGCTGCCCACAGTAGCTGCATTTCTGCGTGACCCGGGCGAGGCAAGTTTCACTGTTAAACACCCACAGAGTGTCTGACCCTCCTGAAGTCAGTTCAAAGTGGGTAGAGCAGAGTCTCTCTTCCCGTTGGGCTTTGAAAGGCCCCATTGAGTGAAGCTCCTCTGCCACACCAAGGGACGGGAGGATCCCAATGCCTCCTAACCCAAGAGGGACTGACACTCTCTTCCAAGGGTTGTATCTCAGGCAAGGAGATGCAAGACAAATTGTGCCTGGCAAGGGCTGGTCGTATCTCTTGCCACCTTGTGCAGGCAGGTGATGGTGAAGATGGTGCAGGAACCAGCATTAATAATAGAACAGAGGACCAGGACTGCCCCAGAGATGCTCTTGTGCGCTGTCAGTCTCAGATTCTTTGATGCTTTGAACTCTGTTGGTCTCCCATCTGCCAAAGGAGCTAATACTCCATATGTCAAATTCCCTGTATTTAAGATTTGACAGTGGTGTTTTAATCCCTTGCCTTCTATGGCATTAAAGAGAAGCAAGACTGGTGATTAACACTAAGAACATTTCCTGTCTAACTTCTTTTGAGCTCAGCAGTTCACCTAGCTCCAGTGTTTCTGTATCTTGGGCCTCATGAACCGAAAGCTTAACATTTCAAAACAAAAGCATTAGTAAATTATAAAGTTTCAAGCATCACCAGCCCTAAAAATAACACCAAACTGCTGTGCAAAATTATTTGTCCCATTCCAGAAAGTTGAATGGGAATCTTAAAACCCATAAGGGTAGTTTGTTTCACATCATTTCTAACAAAGGGCTCCCACTGCAAACTTCAATATAACTCATGGGTCATTTCCAATGTAACCAAAATAATAATGAAATGGCAGAGGTACAGTGCTGCTCCCTCTCTCTCAGAGCCATGAGAATATCTGACTCCAGCACAGGCTACTCCTGTTTTTTCAGATCTAATCCTGGGAAGTAATCTGGTTCCTTTACAGTGTGAAAGAACGCTAATAAGTCACAATAGTTTTTTCCTTTGACAAATGTGTCATTCACATTCTGAACCTGAGTGATGATTTCATAGCACTCAGTAGAGCCAGAGCCTTCTTCTGTGACTCACAGGCATAATGCAGAAGTAATCTAAAAATAATCAGAAATCTATTACTTCTGCAAAAAAGTAATCAGTAATAAGTGCCAATTACTGCTTTTCTGATCCAGTAATTTATAATAGATTACTCCTTCAAAGAAAGAAGAAAAAAAAATTGCTTGTCTTTGTTTCTTGTCACTGTGAGATAGAGAGGAGCATGGCATCAGTGCCCAGAAGTAACACAGTTCCCATGTGAATAACAAGGCCAGAGTTGAGCCAGAAACAAAACTGCTTTTGGAAATTTAGGGGGTTTCAGGGTTTCATCACTGGGCTGCTGGGGCTTTGCCTTTGGATGACTCAGGCCAGCCAGCTGAATCCAGATTACCCTCAACCTCAGACATGTTTTCCTCTGAAGCCTGAGTCGAAGCTTATTACATGTCTGAGAGCGGGTTTCTCCCTGTCTTGGTGAGGTTGGCTAGCACCAAGCAAGTGGCTTCTGTGGGGCACAGCCACATGCCTGCTCCACTTGGCCGCTGCAAATCAAGACATGAACTGTGTCCTTGTAATATCCCCCTCTCTGATACTAGGTTTTGGTTTTTCCTTTGCAGAACCCATCACAGCTTTCCCAGGTGAGAACTTCTACTTTCCAGGTAAAACTGCACTTCTCTTGGTGATTTCTTTCTGCTGGCATGGGCTTTTATATCGAAGAAAAGCAATGTGTGTGCTTGTACAAACAGCAAATGTTCTGAGCATTGAAATGGCAAGTGTATGCTAAACCTCCTCCACCACAGCAGCAGGAGGTGGCACCCTCTGACTCCTGCTAGGTAACAGGGAGCAGGCAAACACAAGTCACACTGTCTTGGGGCTCAATAACATTAGGTTACCCACCATCATGAGGTACCCGGCCTCCTGAAGAGCAGCAGAGCTCATAATGTAAAAGTTATGGAGTAAAGGGTAGTTATCAACCGACTTAAGCAAGTAAACCAGTAACCAGTTTAAAGTGAAATGAGGTGGCAGTGACTTACATTCATTTGGGGGAGGTTGTTTTCTAGTTTAGAGGTGCTCTGGCAGTGGTGGTGTTTGAGCTGCTGGCGGAGGAGGGCAGGGATGGTGTGCTTGGGAGGGGAAGGGAGTTGGGAGGTAGAAGCGGGAGAGCAAACTGCCAAGAGGAGCTCTGAAGGTGACAGTCAATAAAAGGAAAACAAGGTGAAATGGTGCATTTAATAGCTTAATACTAGCCTGGAGGATAGAAACCGGCATTTGTCTGATCAAACCTACAGAGTAAGAGAAAAGGTGAGGAACTCGGAAAACCTGCCTCTCTGTGTGAGCAGTCAGCGGGGAGGCTGTTTGTCTTGCTGTGGGGTGGGAAAAGCTGTCTGCTTTTGCAGGGAAGATCAGTTCAGTCTGTTTGAGGTTTTTTTCACTGTGTTTTGATTTTGGATATTCTTTTCCTGCCCTCCTTTTCAGGAATGTGTCTGGGGGGTGTGTTGTGATGAACAGCAAACTTAGGGCTCCCCTTAACTTCATACTCACTTGAGCTCTTCTCATCCCCTACTCTGCTGTAAGATACGGTTGGGCTCTTCCCTAGAAACAGCTGCATTTCTGTGTGGGGCAAAGCTGTCTCTGGTGGGTATGTGCTTTGAGAGCTGTGCTACTAAAAGAAAAGTGGACACTGAGACTGAAGTCATGTGCACAACTCTGTCCCTGGCATGTGAGGCAGGCTGTGGAGCATTACCAACAGGAGGGACATCCGCAGGGTGTAACACTGTATTTTACAGTCATACCCGTACTGTAACAACTAAGAATTTGGGTTTGTAGGCTGCTTATTTATCTGCAACTCAGGCTTGTGGTGTTACTGAAAATCTGCTGCAATATTCTCAGCTGACAAAGCCTCATGACCCTTCCTTACTTACACCATCACTCTATGTTCTCCTGGGTCTGGTCTGGTGCCTGTTTTGCAGACATCATCCTTGTCTTTTGGGGCTTGTAATGTGTGTTGTCTTCAGTTTGAACCCTCCTCTGGGTCTGTCCCAAAGTCCTGCTAACTCATGTCATTTCCTTTTCTCTTCACCCCATGCCCTGCTGCCTGTATGCCTCCCATTTCTACGTCCTATTCAGCGTGCCTCAGGGCACACTGGCTTGGTAGGGACAGTGTTTGCTGTGCCTAGCACAGCAAGGTCCCTGAGCACCACAGCCAGATGCTGTTGCAGGCACGCCTTCCTTCACTTAGGAGCTCACCAGCTTGTGCCAGTGGGCTCCCACCCATTGCTAATGACATCCTAGCACTGGGTGAGCTGGAAAAACTGCAGGAAGTACGGAGATGTTCTGTGGCCCCCACTCCTGCAGTTACATGATAAGCTGACAAAGTAAGATGCCATTAAAAATAATAGCAAATTCTTCCTCCCCTGGCTTGGGAGCAAAGCTGAAAATACACACCTTCCAGGCGCCAGGATCACAAGGCAAATAAGAAGAGAATCGTGTGGGAGGAATATCTTTCAGCCTAGTGGGTTGGGATCTTACGAGACCAGTCAAGTGTGCTTAAACTGTGCTGCATTTGAGAGTTAATGCATCTCACCCTTAAAGAGAAGGTGTAACAAGTGGCTGGAAGCAAGAAGTTAGCTAAATACCCGGTTAAAAATCAGAGATGTATTCCAAAAAGCATGGAGACAAACTGGGGTGAATTTGCCTTTGGGATGGTTCCACACTGAGTATCCTGAAATCAAGACAAGGATATCTTCCTGGAGAAATAACAGGCAGCAACTAAGGGGTTGAGTTTGACACTGGTTTTGTGGCATTCAGATTAGAAGAGTGTAATACTTGCTTTCATCTGTGCCATCTATGGAAATTCCAGCTGTGTTGCTTGTCCACAGCAGTTAATGTCAGTGATTTCAGAGAGCAATACGAGCAATGGCAGAGCAAGGCAGGCAGCTCTCTAGGAGGCTCTCTGGAAAGGATTTTCTCCTTTTTTCTTCCCCAGAGGATTTTTTGCTCTTTCTTCTTTTGGGTTTTTATATCCACTGCTGCATGGCTCTAAAACAGGCTCCTGTGGAGTCTCCCCTGTTAGGAAGAAGAGGGGGCTGTATCTGGCCAGGTTGGAGAAGTAAGTGCAGCAGCGCACCCAGATGAAATCGGCCACCCTTTAGGGATTAAATAAGGTTTCCACTGAGCAGTCTCCCAAGCCATGCATAAACAAAGCACTCACAAACTCGAGCAGAACAGCAGGAGGCATTTCTTTATTAAGGCAGGAGTCCTAGTGAATAAACGAGGAAGGGCAAGTTGTGTGTGTGTGTGTGTGTGTGTGTGGCGGAAGGCAGAAGGGAGTGGAAAAATTATTAAGTTACAAAGATGGATTTTTGCTCCATCTCCCCGAGCAGGGAACTTTTCCACTGATACAAGAGAAAACTTCCAGAGAGCAGCAGAGCCAGTAAAAACAGAGCAGATAACATCAGCGCTGTGTGCTGAGTGGATGGGCAGCTATATTTAGTGGCTGCCAGTGTAAGGAAGAACAATCATTAGTGTTGGGAATTGGCTTCGTTAGGGCTCAGAGACAACTGAGTGTGATTCCTTAATGACTTCAGTTGCTAAATGAACTCTCCAGACTTCTGCTATCTCCTCAGCAGGGCCGTGAAGTGCGGAAACAGGGGCCAAGGAGAGGCTCTGCACTACCCCTCATGCTTGCAGCCCCGGCTGCTGCACAGGGACATCTGGAGTAGGTCAGAGCCAAGCAGAGGTTATCCTGAATCTGCCACCGCCCCGAGATCCTCCAGGGGTCCTTCCCATGAGCGGGATCATTTGAGGCACATCGTGCTGCCTCCCTTCTTCCCCAGGCAGGCAGAGGTGTGTGGGGAAGGGGCAAGGAGCGCAGGCTCAGCACTGTGGTGTGTGTTCCTCTATTGACAGACCCACCCTTTTTACTCCCTGCCCTGCACTGGGTAATGTACAGACATTAGAAAGCCATGGAAACCTTCCTCCCCTCTATTCTTCAGAGGGGAGTGCTGTTCTCCTACAGGCTCCAGAGCTGTCGGCATCCCTGACACCTGCCCACCCCCCCCCCCCTTCCCACCCCAGTTTCCACCAGCGGGGCCAGTGCATATCAGTGGTGTGAGCCGCTGTTTGTCTGTAAATCTCTCAATGGACCGAGGCGCTATGTAAGCAGCGACTGTCACTGAGTGTAAACATGAGTGGCCTCTGCACAGTGAGCAGCCCCATGCTCTTCCTGGGGGTCAGCCCCGTGCCCTAGCACTGTCAGGCAGAGGCGAGGCGTTGCTGATCCATTGGGGATGGTGGTGGGCTCTGTATGGGTGTGGGGCGGCTTGGTCAGTGGGATCTGTGCTGGAGACAGCAGCAGGTTATCGGTGATGCTCTCACCCTGCTGGGGGCTGATGGCAGCCCCCAAGGGATGTCCCACACTGACACCCCCCGTGTAGGAATGTGCTGCTTCTGTTCCCCCTCACCAGGGTGGTTGGTAGAAATAGAGGAGGAGGGCATAGGACTGCCTGCTCCCTGCTTTTCCCACCCCCAACATACAGCCCACCCTGTATCCCCTCTCTTAGACACTGGGGGGGGGGCAGGAACAACAGGGCCACCCCCATTCCTGGCAGTGAGGGGTAGCTGGGGTGAGACGGGGTGAGGGTGGTGTATCTGGCAGGTAGGCTTCTCCTGAGACATCCGAATTCCTTGCGTACAATGACAAATATGTGGGTGGTTCCCAGCCTGCTGCTCCATAAAAGCAGGATTTGGCTTGACTGTGTGGGGTTTTTTTTCTTGGTTTTGAGTTTTTTTTCTGTTGTAGCTATGCATCTGGGTGCAGTATTCATTTTTGGTTTTACTCCCTGTGCTCAGATTTTGGGGGATGGGGAGAGGAGGAAAGCCTTGTGATTGCATTTTCCCTCATCCTCTGTGCCACCAGCAGCAGAAAAGCTGTCTCCATCCCAAGTTTGGAAGCCAGTGGCTCTGCTGGCAGGGCAGTGTTTGTAGGGGAGGGCAGAAACTGTGCTGTGAGATGCCCTTGCTGCTAGCAAAGTACACACATCCTGCACTGTTCTACTTTTCCTCCTTGGCATCCTCCGAGCCTGCTGAGGAAACCAAGCTGGAGTTGGTTAGAGCAGAGCTCAACAACATGCTGACACCAAACTGCAGGAGCCCTCAAATTCTGCTTGCCAGCACCTACAGGCCGTGCCCCCCACAGCATGCCAGGGGCAAGAGGAGAAGACAAGCAGAATAGGGGATCAATCTGTCCAGCACCAGAGCAAACCCTTTGAGAGCTTCCCTGGGGACTTCGGACCCCTTGAAGTAGCCAATGAATAAATGTGGTACAGAAGTGCATCTCTCTGGAGTTACTTACACAAACGGAGCTGGGGAGGTGGGAGCAGTGTGTGGCTCGTCTCGGGCCGTGCCGGTCAGCACAGACACCAATGCTCAGTGCCGGCCAAGGCACATGTGTGCGTGCTTGTGCGGGCTGGCAGTGAGGTCCTGTGGTGGCGGATCACCAGATGTGCACACAGCTGTCCCGGGATGACCTAGGAAGGGAGAGCAGCGCCTTGCAGCCCTGCCCTGCAAAACATGCTGCAGCTGCAGGAGTAGGAAGGGTTAGCCATTGCTGCGCTGAGCTTGGGCACTGCCTACCCTTGAGTTCAAGGGAGGCAGGTAC